GCTGCTCGGCGCATGGCTCATCTTCTTCCTTAGGCATCCAGTCAGGTCGCGCATACTCGGGAGAATAAGGAAAACGTGCAACCAACGCCGGTGACACGAACCCGTAGACCTTCCCCCCTTTCCTCGCTTGATTCACTCGAAGTACTTGGTCATATGTCGCTGCCTCCAACGAACGTGGCGCAGGCCACCAAACAATACCCTTCTGCGATGAGCAGACGAGGACGCGAGCCGCTTTCAGAGATCACGTCTCTCGCCAACATATTCCCAAAAGCCACCTCAACCCCTGCATCTCATATGCCCCTCTGTGAAGGGAAAAGAGGCAACCATACCAAATCCGCGAGTTTGGGTAATGCGCCCTCCGCAATGATCGAGGTACCGCGCTCAGAGGCTATCATTGCTGCATTTGCTGGACGGGGGGCTATCGGAGATGATCTGCGTCGGGATGTGCTGATACGGGCTCTGAGGAGAAATTACTTATCATAATATGTTGTAATCGCATGTTTCTCTTGGGTACAGCCTAGAACGGTGTAATAGCGATGAAGATTCACTATCGTTTGAGATGTGGCACGGGGATTGTCTCCCTCTGCCCGGGTTAGTACAGTGCTGCAGCGGTAAGATTCTAGGTTTCACCAGAGTCGTCAAAGTTGATGGTTGGAACCGACGAGCGCTCTCAAGGGGATGTTGCGACTAATTTCGGAGATAACGTCGGCATTAGGGTCAAACACTTGACGCCCGTAGAAATTTTCACTGAAATTACTGACATGTTCTTTCATGAAAGAAACGGGCGACCTTCCTTTTTCATTGCGGGAGGTATTGCACAAGTATCAGTACAGCGAGGCCATACATGTCAGTGGAGACGTGAGAACGAGTGCTTCAATCGTGACACTACAGCCGTTGACTGGCTGTTCTTGTGTCTCGATACTCCGGCGGCTCGCTCGCTGAGCTTCCCGAGGTAGTTGCCAGAGGATGTGCGTCGATTCTCGAAGCGAGAATCTCCAGCACTCGGTCAACTACTTCGTTCTGGGCATCCGGGTCGTTAACCAGCGAGGCGGGCGGATTCCGTACACTTGCCCCGGTGACTGTGTTGGTAATGACACTTGCCTCCGTGGTCTTCTCCAGTACACTTGGTGGTGGGAGCGGCGTGTGCATTGTTGGTATGAACGGTGTTGGTGATAGCGGATCAACTCGTCTGCGCCGTCGGAGTAGGAGCAACGCGACCAGGGCAAGGAGGGCAAGAAGAGCAATTCCTCCTATGACACCGCCAGCAATAGCGCCTACATTTGTAGTCCTACCACTATCTGCGGTCGATCCATTCGCCGATGCGGTTGGCGATATAGAGGCACCTGTAGGTGCAGTTGTTGTTTGAACCTCCGAAGCAAGCTGCACTATGGTGATGCTGCTCAGTGTGAGCGTTGATCCTCCAGCGCCAGTGTTCGACATGGTAAGGGTGTGTTGACCTGCTTGAAGATCAAGGGCATAGTACAGGATTGCGGGTGGTAGAGTCCAGCCCTGGACGTTTGGCGTATATGAGGAAGTTTGACCATCAAAAACCTAGTCCTTGTGAGCAGTAAATATGAAGACATAGATCTAGAGCATACAATATTGTACGGTCCATTATTGTTATCCATGCTCGCCTGCATCACGACGCCAACACCAGTGAAGTTGAGAGCCATCATTGCTGCGGGATCGCTCGACTGTGCTGTCGGACTTGTTAATCCATTCAAAGTCGGAGTAGACCATGTTCCTGAGTATTGGATAGAAGGATCGTTGTACTGAATCGTGTAGTTACTCAAAAGCTGCGTGGACTGGACAAAAATTTCGAAATGAAGGAAGTTGAAGGGACCATTCGTCTGGACGACCATGTTGTGATTAGTCGAGTCACTGAGACCATTGGCGTATGATACGATGTGATTAAGTTCTGCCGATGTCGCATTTGTAGTATGGTAAGAAATATTGTCAACTGTGACGTTTGTGCCACTATCTGTTCCGCTGTAGTTCCCGAAAATGTGAAGCTGGTCGCCTAGTATTGTCCAGCGTGAATCAAACATCCATTTCCGGTATGATTAAAGACTGCATACCAGTAAATGTTAACTGCATGCCTTTTACCCCGGGGTTGTTGGCTGATGCATTATGATAGCTCTGACCGAGGCCCAACTCGCCAGTTGCATTTAGTGTGCAACCCGATTGTGCCCAGCAATACGACCAGTCGCCAGTGTAGGTTATCATGGGCGATGAGTCAGTCATGACGACCTTGGCCAGAGTATACGGGGCACTACTCATGCTTGAACACCGTTAATACGTAGACACGATGTGAAGAGGCCTAGAGACAACAGGTTGTAAACCTACAAGGCTATCGTCCCAAGAAGTACTCGTTTGGAGGAATGTTTGCGGGCATCTGATGCCAAGTGGCATCATGAACTATTTGCTCACGAGGTACCCATTGCTTTCTTGATAGAGTATCATGTGGCAAAGCCGATATAGTGTGAGGTTCGATTCCACGCGCAATATTGCCTTCGTTTTTGTACAGCCGGATATAGGACCCTCAGGGACATCAAAAGATGTTCAATGGATTGCGATGCCAAATGCCGAAGTTCCTCCGAGAAGGCAACTTCGTTGCACTCATCACACGCATGGCTTTCTCGGAAAAGAATCGCTTCAACACTCTATATATCGGCATGCAAGAACACGATGCCTTGAATTCATTGTGGAACCATAGGGCGGTAAACACCACGCATCCAGTCAAATACCACTCCCTAATTTGTCACTTCCGTTAAACTCGTCATCACTCTCTTCCCGTCACGAAATTCGACCTCGATAATCGTTGCCGCCGTTGACAGAGTCTCCTTCCCTGTGGCTTTGTTCTTTGTACTAAACTTGCCGAATTGGGCGACTGTACCGGTCTGCTTGTCGGCATCGTTGATGTTCATGGACAGACTAGGATTGCCCAGGTCCGTGCCGAAGCTCTCCTTACGGTAACTCTTGACAAAACCCAAGTAGACGGAGCGTGGAAGAACGGCACCGTTTACCTGAAGATTGAAGAAAGTCAATGTTGAAATCTGTGAATTCAAGATATGCAACAAACTCGATGCGGATATCTTCACTCAGAGCCGCCTCGAACGCAGCGAATGCTTTCTCGTCATCTGGTTGAAACCAAATCTCGCCAAAGAGGTTGTCAACCCAGACATCGAGAGGTGCGATAGAGGTCATTATTCGGTATGTGCAAAGGTGTGGATGGGGGTTGCTTGCCGAGTACCGCCAACAGCGGATGACGGGGTTTTAATAGGGCGAGACGACTGCGGCATCACGGTCTGATACATCCCGACAACGGCAACATCAGAGCTTCCTTTGCACTAGTAGTATCACAAATCAGAATTCTCGGCTCAACCTTATGAAAGGACTGTGCACGCTTGACAACCGCCGGCACCATGACATCAATCCTCGGTGTCTCAGGTCCCTTGCCCCCTGCCCGTCAAGCCCGCTCAAGACATCACCTCTGTCAAGCTGGTCATCACTCTCTTTCCATCCCGGAATTCCACCTTGGCGATGGTACCCGCCGACGAAGTCTTCTCTTCCCCCGTGGATTTGTTCTTGAGGGTGAACTTGCCGCATTGAGCGACCGTACCGGTCTGCTTTTCGGCATCCTCGACGTGCATAGCTAGGGTAGGGTTACCCAGGTCGGTAGCCACGTTGTCCTTGCGTATTCCCTTGACAATACCCAGGTATACAGGGCGTGGCAGGATGGCCCCGTTGACCCTGGTTTAAATGCGCGTCAAGCCCTGCGGCTCATCTGAGAAAGGAGGACAAACTCGATGCGGATGTCCTCGCTCAGGCCTGCCTCAAAGGCCTGAATTGCCTTTTCGTCGTCAGTCTCGAAGAACATCGCCGCAAGGAGGTTTTCGACGAAAACATCAAGAGGTGTGGTAGAAGACATGCTTCGGGCGAAATTCTTGTGAGAGTGTTATGCGACACAAGTAGGGAGCGTCAAGACGTTTAGACCAAAGCAAGTCGCCCTTTTGCCTCTTTTATAGACCGACGTTCTCAGTTCACTGTATCACTTGCTCGCCCCCATTCGTGATGAATCAATGTACAGCTTTGTTTCAAGTCCCTCGTGAGCCGATCAATGGTTGTTATACAAACAATACTCGGGATACACATGAATTCGTACTAGCTGCCATACAACGTCGATTACCATGACATATCTTCCATTCATTGTAAAGGCACCCCAATCTGCTCCGATGCCATCGGACAGGGCAATTTCACTTAATTCTTCGGGATGATCTCGGTCAAGCTTGTCATCACTCTCTTCCGATCAAGGAATTCTACCTTGACAATGGTGCTTCCTGTCCACATCGTCTCGATCCCCGTTGTCTTGTCATTGATACTGAGCTTGCCGAATTGTGAGACGACACCGGTCTGCTGCTCAAGATGATCAATATGCATGGACAAGGTCCGGATTCCTAGAGCGGTAACGCTTTTGTCCACTCGGTTGTCTTTGACAATAACCAATATTGGTTGGAGCGCGGGGACGGCACCGTTCACCCTTCAGGCGGAAGATGAGCAAATCGAAGCTCAAAAATTCAAAAAGGCACTACTGATTCGATGAGGATATCGTGACTCAAGCCCTCCTCGAAGGCGGCAAAAGCCTTTTCGTCGTCCCCCTGGGAAAATATCAACCCATACATCGAGAGGCTTGACAGAAGACATGGGTTGGATGAAGAATAGTGTTCAAAATGGGCAATGCGTCGAGATTTTCAAAGCTTCCCGAAGCCGGTCCTGTCTCTCTTACAGAGCATCATTGTCGTCTGAATGGATTTGCGGACGGCCCATCCCTTGTGACGAGCCGTTTGACATATGCTGTCTCCCCGAACAGCCCATGTCAGTGAGGAAACGAATCCTCTTACGAACGCCAAGCGACCGGGGATCCTTGTCCCACTTGCTGAAAGGACAGTGCACAAGACGAGTCGCCATCCAGCGCGTGGCCATTCAATTATTTGACGGCAACTAGAATGCTATCGGGCCGACCTGGACGCCCCCTAGTCATCGGCAATGACCTCGGTCAAGCTGGTCATCACCCTCTTCCCATCCCGGAACTCGACCTTGATGATCGTCGTCGCTGTGGCGTTGACGACCGCTCCGGTTGCCTTGTTCTTGGTGCTAAACTTGCCGCATTGGGCAACGGTTCCGGTCTGCTTCTCCACATCGTCGACATGCATGGACAGGGTCGGGTTGCCGAGGTCCGTTCCAGTACCCTCCTCGCGGTAGCGTGTGACAATTCCAAGATAGACGGAACGCGGGAGCACGGCGCCGTTCACTCTTCAGAGCAGAATAAGCACGGCTTCAAGGAACAAAGACGTTACATACTCAATACGAATATCACTGCTTATGTAATCCTCGAAGGCCTTGAAGGCCGTTGCGTCATCCGGATTGAAGTAGATTTCCCCGATGAGGTCATTAGTCCATACATCGAGAGGTTTGACAGCAGACGTCATGGTTCGGATGGAATATGGGCTTGAGAATTTGGTTTGGGGGCGGAATCGGTTCGAGTGCTGTTGAGCTCGATGAAGGAGAGGACGGCCGATTCTTATAGCCTTGGCAGACAACTGCGTGATCATGCTTTCAAACGCCGTGTGACGGTGGATAGCGTTATGACACAAGATAGCGGGCTCAAACCCTTCCTATACCTTGCTTGTTTAAGTGCGGCCGATAGGTTTTCAACCTTCTGCCCGACGGGCGCTTCCTCATATTTGCCACGGGGTTCATGCCGGATCGGCACCAGAATAACAGACTAGCCAGGTGGATGATTAGGAGGTCGAGGCGATGGCTTGAAGGTGGGACATCAATGATGACAAAGGGTGCACGTGAGCTTACAAATATCATTTGTCAGGGTTCTTTTCCCTTTGTGGTTTGGGTCGAGGTAATTCCTCCGATAACCCCTTTCGGGGGTATCTTGCCTACAATGACCCGTCGGGTGCAAATTGCCTAAATGACCCCAAATGCCGCCCCTAAGTAACCAAATAAGGAAAGCAGTGGCTGTGGCAATAGAAGCACGTGCCTCCGGGCAATCCAATCAATCCAACAACGTGTTTTTGTGAATGTTTTGCTAGTAGAACAGACCTTTTTCAAAAGACAACCTGGTTGGCATTGTGTATGGTATCTATTATCATCAAGAACTGCTGCAAAATTCATTGCCTTGCCGTAAAAGTGCGGTGTTTCCTCACCTATGTTTACAATGGTGAAAATCGGTGAATTATTATACGAGGCATCCATGCAGAATTGATTTATATACTGTAACATAATTAATTAAAAAACAACATCAGAACATGCTTTATAAACCGACACGAAGAGACCGGACCCTAGCGCATCTTGAACTGCCACCTTCCTTAATTGGAAGGTCCCTGGTTGCTTAGGGCAGGCCTTGGCGTCATTTCAGGGATTTGCGCCCGAGGGGTCATTGTAGGCAAAATGCGCCCGAAAGGGGTCATCGGAGGAATTACCCCGGTTTGGGTCTAACGAACACAGCACCCAGGGAACGGTACACCGCACATTTCACCTTCATATCAACAATCATCCACAATTCTCACAATTCATGACGGTATCTGCATCAAGCTTAGTCAGACTTTGATCCCATTCTTCTGGCCGATAGACGCGCAGCAAGCGCCAGGATCTACGAAATACACTTGGCGATGAATGCCCTTTCGCGGCGAGAAGAGGAGACGCTGATGAAGGTCACCAAAGCCCGTGCGTTGAAGGAATGTGATGCCGTTGTTCGCCGTACGCCTGCCCATCACCTCAATACTCCCTATCTGTGCTTATGAAAGGACTTTTTATTCAGAATTCGCCGACTGTGCGACTGGCAGGACAGTATCCGTAGTTTGGGCGTGTAGAGGGCAGCATAAGGCGATGCAAGAGTGCATTCGTCAATAGTGCGTGTCTTTTTCTGCCTCTATAGCGCTCGAAACGCTTACGTGTATGTACAGCACAAATCCGGAGAACATGGAGCGTCTTAGATTGGAGTACATCAACCTTAGACGGAAAGAGTTGGCGGCTGAGGTGCCTCTCAAGCCTTGATGATGACGTTTTGTTTCCCTATACTGCTGTGCATTCAGAGGGCATTTCATCTTACTTGGGCACGCCTCACATCTGTATTTGTTCTGATAAACAATGACACTACTCATTTATATTCTGATTGTTGCAGGATTCAGTCGCGTCGTGTCAGGAAAGAAAAGGGCTTGCTCAGTTGTTCTAACCCCATGCTCTCCATTCAGCGCGCGCATTGATGCTCTCTCCGTGCCTGCTGAGTACTCTCCATATTTCATTCGGTACTGTCTGTCATGGTCACCACCAATCGTTGCACTCGGCATAATTGCGGGCCGAACCCTAGGCCGGAATGACGGCGGGATGCTTCGTCCCAGCTTGCACCATCTAGTACCTGCTCGCGTTCTGCCCTCGAACATGTGACCTTCTTTCTCCTCCCTCACACCACAAGATATGGCCCAACTCACCCTCCAGTCCGCCGTGAAGCTCAACTCCGGTATGAGGTCTTCCTCCATGGATTTGAGAGGTTGGTGTACTGATGTGAACTGTCCAGGGTATAGCATGCCCCTACTGGGATTTGGCGTCTGGGCTTCCCCCGGACATCTAACGGCACAATCATGCGTGTACGCTCTCCAGGCTGGATATCGGTGTGTCCCCTCCCCCTCGGTCGGCTGCTGCAGAGCCTCATGCGCTTATGCTAGGCATATCGACACCGCCCAAATGTACCGGAACGAGTCCGAGGTCGGGGATGGTGTGCGCGAGTTCTGCAAGCAGAGCGGGGTGAAGAGGGAGAATATTTTTGTGACAACGAAGATGTCAGCGCCTGAGGCAAGTCATGATGAGACGATGACAGCCTTGAAGGCTAGCGTGGATAAAATTGGGCTGGGTGGGTGTCTTTCCCCAAAGAACCAGGGAACCGCCGATAGAATACTCACCGATTTCGGTCAGATGGTTACGTCGACTTGTTCCTCATACATTCCCCTCGTTCAGGTCCCGAAGGACGTCAAGCTCTCTGGAAGGCCATGGAGCAGCTGCACGCTGAAGGCAAAGCACGGAGCATAGGCGTGAGCAACTATGGACCAAGCCATTTCGAGGAGATGAGGGCGTACGCGAAGATCTGGCCGGCTGTGAACCAGATTGAGGTGTGTTCTCATAAACACATAGAGTGAGGAATTCGGGCTGATGTGTCATATGCCTCGAGTTGCATCCCTGGTGTCAGCAGCCTAAGGTGGTCGAGTATTGCGAGGCCAATCACATCGCGATCCAAGCCTACTGCCCTCTGGTGCGAGGCGAGAAAGCCCAAGACCCCACGCTGATTCGCGTCTCGAAAAAACACGACAAGTCTTGGGCACAAGTGCTCATCCGCTGGAGCTTGCAGAAGGGGTTCAGTCCACTACCAAAGAGCGACAACCCCGCACGGATCGAGGCGAATAAGGCTGTGTACGGATGGGAGCTGGATGAGGAGGATATGAAGGAATTGGAAGGAATGCACCAGGGTGCGAGCGGAGCGCTGGTGCGGGTTGCAGAGTAGACATCGTCGGGAGACATGGAATTCGAAGTGGTCGAAGCCCCTACTTCGGGCCAAGATGTTACCCTGGGGAACGGACGAGTGTCGTAAGATATAGAACTCCAGTCCCCACGGAACGCCTGACCTGTGACCCCTGATTACGGGCGAACGATGTATATAATGCATTGAAAGTGCAGATAACTTGTTTACAAGACAATTTACCCTTCCAAGTTAGATCCCACGAGATGTTGAAAATGGAGCAAATCAGGGTCATCTCCGGACTTCCACTCAGTTCTTTATCGAACATGAGATGCTGGCGGCAGTAAACAAAAATCGCTGTACCCCAAAGAATATCCATGACACGCCCTCTCATGGGTTTGTCATGGAAACCCTTGAGCTGTCGCTCATTGGTGGACACCGACCGCACTCTGTCACCAACTCTCCGGTTAGGCAAGACGAAGATGCAAATCAAGCATCTTGCCATATTGCGACCTAGGCAGGTTGACAATCACGAGCATTATACTCTTCTATCCAGTCAGCGTGCCGAAAGGATATTTCCAGCTGTCGGTCATAAGAGTTGATGCCTCATAACGAACATGCTCGTATAGGCTGCCTCCCCCTCAGTCCTACTACTATCTCTTCTCTCGACGCTACCGGTTCACTATGATCTGCGAGAATTGCACTAGGGGCACTAAACTCCCTGGAACCCCCACGGGGAGCATGATCAAGATCAACGACACCGACACCTACCTTGCCGCTCCGTCTGCGCCAGTAACTCCGGGGAACGAGCACAAGGCAGTGGTCATCTTCACTGATGTGCTCGGTCTGCCACTAGGGAACAGTCAGCTGATTGCGGACGAGTTTGCAAAAAAGCTGAATTTGCCTGTGTACGTCCCGGATATGTTCATGGTGCGTCCTTCCTCGCTGCTGGTTACAATATTTCTGAGCAGCATCCATGTGAACATAGGGCCACCCACCACTCAACCCGCAGCAGATGACATCTGTAGACCACTTTGATATGACTCCCCGCCCCTTCACGAACAAACTCCGATTCTACGCGCTTCTCATCGGCGCCCTGCCCAATATCATCCTCACTAACGGTCCCGCCAAAGTCAGCGCCCGCATGCAGGCATGGGCAGAAGCGTTGCGAAAGGAGAAGGGTGTGGAGAGGCTGGGTGCCGTGGGTCATTGTTATGGGGGGATGGTAATCATCAAGATGGTGGCGGCGAAACAGGGGTTGTTCCAGGCTGGTGTTGTCTGCCACCCTGGGAGGATCAGCTTGCAAGAAGCTGAAATGGTTGACGTGAGTGTTCCTTCCCTCTGGCGGGAAAACTCTCAGGCAGAGAATGTCCTTAGAAGAAGATTATTGCTAATTTCTGTTCTCCAGTTCCCCTGTGCTTTTGCTACCGCTCAAGTAGATGAATCTTTCCCGCAGCCTGTTGCCAAAGAATTCGAAGCCGCCTTCGCTGCCCGTGACGAGAAGACTAAAGTGCCGTACGAGTTTGTCTTCTACCCTGGGACAACGCACGGATTTGCGGCGAGGCCGGCGCTCCATATCCAGGAGGTGAAGGAGGCGTTTGAGAAGGTGACGGAACAGAGCTGGAAGTGGATAGAGAAGCATTTGTAAAGGAGTGTGCTTTATACTGGGAGGTTTCTTGATGATGTCGGCTACTCTCTAATGTTAATGATATTCGGTTTAAAAGGGAATATTGCTACATGTAAATTCGACCAATCACAGCTGGGAGTTCCACGAAGTACCCCATTGTGAAATTATCCGTCTATCCAATCACAGCGACTCTCTTGTCATTGCCCATCTTGTCATTCTGTTATGCTGGTCCAAACTTCAATATCCACGTTTCTGCCCACTGTGAGGATTATCCGAGGGTGCCCAAGCTGCGCACCATGAAATCGGAAACCAGGCCTGCATACCGCGGACGTGGACCCTCGCCTGCATCAACCAGTCACGAACGGCCATCTTCAGCAGTTGTAAACCAAATCAACAACGTAAGTTCGCCGCGTACACTCCCACATTTCTGACCGCATCTGACTCTCCCGTATAGTTGTTGGTTTCACAGAAGGCGAAGGAGATGACATAACCCCATCGCGTACGGCACTTCCCAAGGCAAACCCCACAGCGAGCGGCGTCATGGATGGCGGCATTGCATGACCGACGAACTGGTGCTGCTTTGGATGGACCAAGCTGCCTAGGTATAAATGGAGGGGGACATATCCTCTGAGGTTCTGCCTTAACGACCTCTCCAAATCCTTCGAAGCACGTGCAACAATAAAGTCAACAAGATGAAGCTTTGTGCCGACTGCATGTCTGGAGTGATTCTTCCCGGCACTCCTAAAGGGCAAATGGTCACCCTTGACCGCTTCTCTGCCTACCTTGCCTCTCCGCCTGCTTCATCCCGCCTTTCGGTCGCAGCCAATCGTGCGGTTGTTCTGTTCACCGATGTGTTCGAGCTACCTTTAGGAAACCCGAAGATCATGGCCGACGCTTTCTCTAGTGAGCTGGGTGTGGACGTTTGGGTGCCAGATATGTTCAACGTATGTTTTCTCCTGCCTCAATCCCTGTTTCTTGACTGATTAGAGACGTATCCAGGGTCATCCACCCCTCAAGAACGAGGACATCATGCGGTACGATCATCAAGACCCAGGCAGTCCCATGCCATCGTGGAAGTTATTAGGTTTCCTCAGCCAGACAACGTTCGTTTTTCCAAAGATGATCATGGGAGAAAACAAGCAGTCTAGGGTGTACACGAGAATGAAGGAAGTGAGACTACGTCTTTTCAGGGAGGTTAAGGGGAAGCTAACCCAAGGCTAGTTTGTGGAAACACTTAACAAGGACCGGGGGATAGAGAAGATTGGGGCCGTCGGGTATGCAATTTTTGCCTTCCGATTCTACAAGGCCTCTCTAACCCCAGAGCAGATACTGTTACGGAGGAAGTGTGCTCCTCTCCCTCGTGCCTTTCCATCTTCTGTCGAGTGCTGTCATCGCACATCCTGGCGATTTTGACCACAAGCTAGTTGAAGACATTGATGTGGGTTCCCGCCTTTTCTCTCCTCCCCACGTTGGGCAACAAACTCACTAGACTCCCAAGTTCCCCACCTCGTGGATTACGTGCCAAGAAGATTTTGTTTTCGGCCCCGACAAGCAGGAGGATGTGCAGCGTCGATTTTCTCTTCGTTCCCAGCGAGCGAAAGAAGGACGACCTGAACAGGTGCCTCGGTACGAGTTCAGGCGATACATGGGTACCAGGCATGGGTTCGGGTGCAGGCCGGCCCTAGACATCCCAATGATCAAGGATGCCTTTGTCATGGCTAGTGAGCAGACCACCGCTTGGTTTAAGGATACTCTCTTGTAAAGTGGGTGTGAGTGGCCTTGCACAGAAATTATTATGGTATACACTATATCTTCCCTCTCCCATGATAAGATAAGAGTATTCAGCAATGGTCCTAAACAAAAGTGAACACCCACAGCTTTGCTTCTAATAATCTTCATTTCTTATCGAGAAGCCACATGCCTTATTTTGCTTTCCTTGTGACTCGTCTCAATGGTTGAATTCAACCATTGTGAACGTAGATACATATATGCGTGATAATAAACTGTAGTGTATGGGCATACAGCCTTCGTCGGTTTCTTATGTTGCCTTCTTACAACATTGTTTTCCTCAACCACAACACCGATTGCTCCCATGCCTTCAAAAACGCCTCCTTCACCACAGGGACATCAAAAGCCGGCCGGGAAGCGAACCCATGCCTGGTACCCATATACCTCTTGTACTCGTACTCCGGGACCTCCTCCCCTCGAACCTTAGCCTGCGCAAAGCGGGAGCGGAGGCGGGCTTCGAGCGCTTCGTGTACAGAGGCAGGGACAAGGAAGTCTTCCTCACAGATGATCCAGGAAGTAGGAAACTGGGAAAATTATGAGGCGTTGGACGATGATTGTGGTTGAAAGGCAGAAGACGTACATCAATTTGATCTACAAGCTTCGGGTCTGCGCTACCCGGATGGCAGATGACGGCGCTGGTCAGACAGTGATATGGGGCGAGGGAGAGGACGACGCTTCCTCCTAAGCAATAGCTATGTGAACCCATGAACAAGGAGAAGAAGGGCAAAAGTCGTCACCAATCACCCGATCGCCCCAAGCTTCTCCAATCCCTTTTCCTGCCTCAGAGGATCTCCAAGAGCTGGACAAGTTCTGCGATGCGATGATTCAGATCCGGAAGGAGGTGAACGACATCATTGCAGGAAAGCAACCGAAAGACAACAACTTGCTGAAGAACGCACCTCACCCTATCTCCGCCATCAGCCTTTCAGAAGAGGAATGGAATCGGTACGCAGAAACCGTATCGAAATAGAACCCATTTACTAAATGTCATACAGCCCTTACAGCCGCACCACCGCTGCGTATCCTTTGCCCTACCTGAAGATTCGCAAGTTCTGGCCTACTGTGACTCAGCACCTGAACGAACTGTCCTCCCTCATGTCAGATCACATTTTCATCAGAATGAAAGCACGGCTCGCCTCTCTCATCCTCTCACACACTCTCGACTCCCTGTTTTCACCGAATAGCAGGCTGGGAGCGGCTTTGATTGCATAGTATGCGTATCCCATGATCTTCCACCAAGGCATGGGGGAGCCTGGATCTTGATGATCGTACGGGAGGAGGTCGTCGTTATTCAGCGAAGGCTTTCCCTGTTATGGCCATCAAAATTCAGCAAATTTCAGGATGTAGAAGGGAAGACCGCACGTTGAACGGATCAGGCACCCATACCTCCAGGCCGACCTCCCTCGCCAACCCGTCTGCCAATATCCTTGGGTTATCCCACCCTAGTCCCAGACCGTCTGTGAACACCAATATGGCTTTCTTATCACTGTTAGATGCGCGTTCGGAAGGGGAGGGGACTGTATGATAGACGGAGAAGTTGCCGATTGAGACCATCTGCCCGCAGGGGGTTCCAGGTAGAGCGACGCGGGTGATGCAGTCCGCACAGAAATTCATGCTGGAGCTCGTAGAAAATAAGAGGCAAAAAGAGGATAGAGACATCGATCAGAAACGAATTGTAGCATGATCGGCGCTTTCATGGTTTGATCGAGAACGTCCAGAATTGGAAGTGTAAAGTCTCAGGTGCGATCGTGAGATGGTCGATGTCATCGAACCCCCGAAAGGGACCGATGCCACAAGTCCGAGTAGTCTAAATTGAAAGGATAATCCTATGGAATCCACAATATTTATGATTTACTATGCGTGGCTTATGACCTAATTTGTACTCAAAGCAAAGTCTTCTTGAACCACCGCACAGTCTGCTCCCAAGCCCCCTCCCACGCATTCCTCACGGCCTCGACCTCAAGCGCCGGACGGCACGCAAATCCGTGTCGAGTCCCCATATACCGCTTCATCTCATACTCGGGTGCCTCTTTGCCTTGCTCGCGTAATTGTTGATTCCGACGGGCAAGGCGCTCGTTGACATCCTCCGTGGAAGTGGGCGAAAAGAACGCATCTTCTTCACAGGTAACCCAGGAGGTAGGAAACTGGATTGAGTCAGAAAGAGGGGGAAAACATAGAGCAGAGAAAACTCACGTTTATCTCGTCCACCAGCTTGTGATCAAAGTCGCCAGGATGACAGATGACTGCACTCGAGAACAGGTGGTAGGGCATCAGATCGGCGATAACGCCGCCCACAAGCCAAGATGTGTGCGCTTCCCTGCAACATAATGACTAGTCTCTAACCACCAAAGCAGTACCTGAATCCAGATTTCAATACTGAACAGATGAGTGAGGGGACAGGAAGGACGCACCCAACCACTCCGAGCTTCTCAACCCCTTTCTCTTTCTTCAAGTTCTCAACGAACTGCCCCATTCACCACATCAGCCCTCCTCCTTCACTCAGAGGAAGTCAGCATACCGTTATCATTCTCCCGGCTGCACTCGGGCGTGACCCAGTCGTCATCATGTTCGGCATGGACTTGAGCACCTGCCACGTATAGCCCAGGTTCTTCCAGAGCGGCGGCTTGACCCCAATCTCGGTGTGATCATACGGGAGGAGATCTTCCTCTCTGATCGGTGGATGTCCCTGCTCATCGCCTGAGGACGGCTAGGATAGCTTAAAACGAGCGCGGCATACGGCGAACAAGTCTGGCACCTGTCTCACTTCAGCCCCCCAACTGCCATCGATGATTAAACTCTCACGTACATACACATCCACCCCTATCTCCATTGCAAACCCATCCGCCATAATCTTGGGATTCGGTAACGGCAGCCCAAATATGTCCGTGAAGACTAGGATGGCGCTCTTCTCCGCGGCGGGCGTGCGGACAGCATCCGATGCACGAGCATAATAGCAATCAGTCACGCCGATTTTGAGCATGTCACCTCCTGGCGTTCCGGGAAGGCGTTTGCCTTTCAAGCAGTCCGCGCAGAGCTTCATGGTTCTTCTTTTGGGTGGTCTCTAAGACCGGACGACACTCGAGGATCTCCTACCAGTTGAGAGACAGCCTTAAGACGAAAGGCAAAGTCACCCTGACTCGACGGCGTTTGACGGGGCGTTTGAACCTGCGATTGTTAGTGGGAAATGATGTACACGATGACAATATTGCCTAGCCAATATCAGAACCGTCTGAGATGAGAGGGTGAACACAAACCGTTGATACCGAATATTGATAATTACACAAGAGCGTGAAGAACACACAATTGTGAGAGAACTGATCTGTTGTAGGTGTCTATGTATTATCCAAGAGGCAAAACAGCTCGAAAGAAGTGTATTCTCGCACTAAAAGTACGTTGAGACCTTCGTATGACTGTCAGGCCGAAGAGGAAAATGAATTGAAGATGCCCAGTCGGATGACGTCTGAACCCTTTGGAATGCACGTGAATCACTGTTCTACCCAACCGATCCTTTCCTTAGGACAGATGGCGCCCTAGGAGAACAAGGCTCTCTCTCTGATCCCCATTGCCTCCCCCCTTTCCCGTTGATCCCCAGTTGGCCTACAATACCTCATTGTCAAGTAACGATGAAGCTCTGTGCAGACTGCATTGCTGGCACCCGCCTCACCGGCACGCCCACTGGTGAGATGATCAAGCTCGCCTCAACTGACTGCTACTATGCCCGCGCACCGGACGATGTGCGCGTTCCTGCGGCAGAGAAGAGCGCGATTCTGGTGTTCACGGATATCTTTGGCCTGCCTCTGGGAAATCCGAAAATTATGGCGGATGGGTATGCGAAGGAGAGTGGCTTGGATGTTTATGTGTGTTTGTTTATCTCGTGAATATGCTGACGAATGGCTGAACGGGAAAAGGTACCGGATATGTTCGCTGTTCGTATCATTTTCCTCGCCTTCTAGTGCGAGGAGTGGACTTAGGAAGAGCAGGGTAACCCCCCCGTTGACGACAACGACCTCAGGACATATGATCACTGGCAAGTGGGCGTCAAACCTCCGATATGGAAGAACCTCGGCTTCACCTGGCAGATCTTCAAGAGCATGCCAAACCTTCTCACGACCAACTGGCCGTCTAATGTGGGGAAGCGCATGAAGACGGTATGTGCGCTCGTATGTCTCTGGCAGTGTTCTTATTTAGCATGGGTTTGTCAGTTCATCGAAACTCTCAAAAAGGAAAAGGGACTAGAAAAGATTGGAGCAGTTGGGTGAGTCCTGCCTGTACATGCATTACTCGGCTAACCAGAGGTACAGGTATTGTTTCGGAGGTTCGAAAGATTCGTTTTCGGGCCAGTGAACAAGGCGTTTACGAATGTATCAGGTATGATGGTTGCGGAGATGGCACCCTACCACGTACTCTCGAGTGGTGTCATCTGCCACCCAGGTGGATTTTCGCTGAAATTGGTGACACAAATGGATGTGCGTATCTGTGCTTCATAGGTGACACTTCACTTAAGTCATTTGCAGTACCCTGTTTCTTGGGTCGTTGCCGAAGGTATGTCCTCTGCTTCCAGCTTAGCGTACGCAGCTGACACAGGGTTTTGGCAGAGGACTTTGCCTTCCCTGCCGCAAAAACCGTCGAAGCCGAACAACTGCTTGCAGCGCGTACCGAAAGATCAGATGCAATCGAGTATGAGTTCAAGCGCTACATGGGTACGCGGCACGGTTTTGCGTGCCGGCCAGCACTCGACATGCCCGAGGTGAAGAAGGCTTGGGAAGATGCGGCCGAGCAGACAGTGAACTGGTTTAAGAAAACGCTGATATGATGAGTCTCTGCTAGACGAGGTTAGCAAGCGGTTGTTTTCCCGATGTCAAGGACTTGTTTCTCTTTTCTCCCTCCTTGTCTCTCCGCTGGATGTTCAAATACTGCGTTTGCCCCATGTTAACAATCCCGTCTGGATCGGAATCACAGCCATCGCTGAGGCATACATAGCGTAAGTTAATTGTGCCTCTTATTCTGTCCAACCATTCTGTCGAATCCTGGCGGCTATTACGCATGTATTACCTGTAACTGGCTTGAACGAATATGGCAGGGTAAAATGTGTTCGAAATGACTAACGTTTATGCGCTCTGACATATCACCAAGTTTCCATTCTCTCAGAGAGTCTCCACATCGCTGCCCGCAGCTTCTGATCCGCTTCACTAATCCCTCCCATATTATTATATTGAGCATGCATGCGCATCTCGGAAGATGAAACCATCATCCGACTTGCACTTCGTTCCATATTGGGGAACGACACCTTCGTGGAAGTATGCAGCAATAGCTTTCGCAGTACAAATCGAAGGATGAGCAGTCGAACAGTGGCCAAAGCCGTCCTGAATCAGCAGCGTCGCACTTTCGTTTCCAAACCCCTTCGACATCGTTTTTGCCGCCGACAAGGGGGTAACGGAGTCTGCAGTGTTCCTAAGGGGCATCGGCCAGTTAATGGGATATATTTCTTCAAAATTTTGAGATAGACAAACCCAACAAAAAGAATCGGTTATTTCGTCTTCTGTAGTCCGTCTTCGACTGTCCATGGGCCACGGTAAGCCTCAAAAGCCGTTATATTCCATAGTCTGCACCGGCCAGCAAACAATGTCCAAGTTTCCCCCGTGATACTCAGCTGGGACAGCTCCTTAGAATACTCCATAAATTCCTCCGGTGTATCTATTGAATGAGCCACCCTCGGATCAACATCACCACACATGACTGCAGCATTAGAAATACGACTCGTTCCAGAAGCAACCATATGCCGCCTGAACACGTTATCTGTGGGCTCTCTGCGCTCCGTGAGGGCGGGTTCTCCGATGAAGATAGCCAAAGCAGCGCCATCTCCTTTCTTGGCATCAGAAAACGCTTTCGCCAGGTCGGCCCATCTGGTCGGCTTATACAATGCTTGGAATATCGCAGTCTTCACGTCACTGGCAGTGATGATGCCGGAAAATTTGCCAGAAAAGGACACGGGCAGCGGACGTGCTCGGAGGGAATCAATGAGGGCCTCTATGCTTGCTCGAATGTCGTCGGCTGTCAATCCGGGTTCTGCCAGTGGACACCTGCCAGGACCCGCAAGTGCGCATTCGCTGAAGAAACCCTCCCAGACTTTGTTCGTGTCGTCCATGGCGCTGCGGCCAGAATCGAAGGGGTTGTTCGTGAAGAAGTTGCTATTGGCGACGCCATCCAATACTAGTCGATAGGCATACTCGGGAAACATTGCGGCAAAAGTCGCTCCAAGAATCGTTCCATATCTGAAGCTACCAGCCATTTTCATGGATGTTCTGTGATTGAAGGAAGGAAGCTTACCCCCAATACTGAAGACCCCGCTCATCCTCTCCTATGGCCTGCAGTATACTCAGAATATCGCGGGCAGTATAAGCAGTGCTGGAAGCTTTGAGCATCTTCTGGTTTCCATTATTTGTACAGCTTGCTACGTCGGCAAGGTAAAATGCATCGACTTTCTCGAACCAAGAAAGGCTGTTGTTACCGAGCTCGAAGGGCAGGCCAAGTTGAGCCTCCTTGTACGCACCAATCCATTCATCGAAATCCGTCGGATAGCAGCCTAGATAAGGAGTCGTCTTTGTTTTCTAAGTCATCCAATCAACTCGAGAAGAGCAATCCAGTGACATACCATATTTATCCCACGGGGATCCAGGACAAGATATCATAGCGACCTGCTATGCGATCAGTAATTTAATGTGATTGTAAGTTTTCTCCAATCACCTTTTAGAATGATATTCAGATCCTGTCCGTAATTGACGAGAGCAGCAGTCCCAGATCCACCTGGGCCCCCAGGATTGACGAACAGGGTACCCAGCCTCTCGTCCTTTGGAGCGGATGCGGGCAAACGTCGTAGAGCCAATGATACTGTCTCATCTGGCGAGGGGTTTAGATACTATTGAAGTTAGCATGTATCTCAAGTGAAGAGAAACAACACACGTCAAGCGGGACACTAAGGTAGGCGCAGTCGTATTCGGTCAAGTCTGGGCACGACCGCCAAGCCACAGTCGGGCTGAACATCTTGAGAGAACAGCTAAAGTTAGTTAAATGGAGTATTCAGAGACCAGGGATTCTACCGAAAACGCCGGTTGGACGGGGTGATAAGCTTGATAACTAAGATACCCAGTCATGACCAACACGGCGCCGAGAAAGACCAGGACAATGTTTGTCCTTCTAGGCGCAGATGATCTTGCTACATGCAGAGCAACCATCTCTTCCTGAAAGACGGACTTCTCCATGTTGATGGTCAAGTGCAAAGTTGACAAGACATCGTTCTTTCCTCGTTACCAGTCAAGCTCTCACGAAGGACCGCGATTCGTGCGGGACAGCTGTGCGATACTGGCCGTTCGGGTCAGGAATCCGGATCCAGATTACCACATATCAGTCGCTCAGCGCGCAGCATATTCCTCAAATTATTTAAAATGCATCCACTTTGTGCTTTGAATGGCCTTCATAACTCTCGCAGTTTTCTCGTTAGGCGAGCAAAGAAACGTCAAAGCGCAGCATGCGTTAATCCATTGCTGGAGGCCTACGAGATGAGTTCGAAATGGCACGGAGAAAAAGTGAGAAGTAATAGTGAGGACGTTTATTGGCTCATGGAATCTATTTCCAACTATAGCTATGCTTTGCTTTCCACGCACCGCTGGCAGTGATTGTGATGTGATTGAATCGGAATATCGAAGGTTACACCCACAGGATGAATATGACCATTGCAGGGATTTTTAGCCTTGGCCGACGCCTCGGGCTTACATCAGAAAAACAGTTACCCACGTCGAAAGCGAGGGATACCTTAGGCATCCTTAGAAAAGAAAGAAGAGGGGTACTATGATGCATAGTGAACGTGTAGCGGGTATACACAATGAGCGAATCTAATCTAAACAATCGAATCGAAAGGTCCAATAATTCCTCTTCCTTTCTTTCTCTCGGCAGCGTCTTCCCAGGTTTGCCGTTCGCGCAAGAGCCGTTCTTGCATGTCGAATGTTGCCGAGGTAGGTGTGGCATCATTGTCGTGCAATTGAATATGCGTAATCTGCTCAGTGGATACCTTGACACTGATCGGCTGGGGTTGAAGACTGATCGCATTGCTGGCTCGCTGATGCGTTGGTTCAAGCGGATGTGAGCGCAGGCCCACGCGCACAACGATTGAAGTGAAAACGAGACCAACGGTGGGGGGTAATCATCTCCAGCATGATATACTGCGCGTTACAGTCCAGAACATAGAGCCCGAGCAGAGCCGCCTGCGCTAGGACGTAGGCCACGGCACTCTCAACCACAATTCCGACAATCGGCATAAGGCTCCGACCTGCAGCGCGAAAAGCAGTTATGGTCCGGTCACTGTTCCAGATCGCATATGCAATCAGCCCCGTGGTGATGATATTCTGCACCAGCGCAAGAGTGTAGAACGAGATAATCCAGCCCCACAAGTTATTATCAAAAATCTGGAACTATCAGTTTCTTTATAGAAGGTGAAGGCATGTAGCTTACTGAAAAGTCGGCTTTGTTCCTCACAAACAACCAGGCGACAATGTATCCAGAGACTACACACACAATTTCAGTATTAGCGCATAAAGCGTCTGCCGTGGTATACATACAGGTACTGCAAACGAGCAAGATTATCGGCGCAACAACAACCACGTATCTCCGCTCCCAGATTAGCCAACAACGATATATATGTTAAAAGGAGTATTATGAACCTCCCAAGCATGCAAGTTGGGTATACATATAGCAAACGCATCACCAAGCAGGCTCTGAGTCGTGTAGATTGTATCCTTCACGACGTGCGTAGGGGAGTCCAAATCATTGAAGAAAGCGACTGCGTCAGAAGACCACACATATCCATTAAGCAGGCGGCGTAGATTGACAGCTGACGTCCAGCGATCAGTAATGATAATTTATTTGCTGAAGAACACAGTACCGATATGAGCAGTAGCAAGCACGAACATGGCGATTGCGGCGACAAGCATAGGCTAGAGAGGAACTTAGAACCGCAGAATGGAGGAACCCTTTTTTTCCATACCCAGTTCGGGCGACCAGCCACGATCTTCTCATGCATGATATATATGCTGGCCAGGAAGAGCGGCACAAGACATCCATAGAGCAAGAGCTGAATATACTATTTAGCTTTGTGCGTGAGCAGAGAGCATAAAACACACACCTCTGCCCATATTGAAAGGATGAATGCCTCGTCGATGGGGAAGTCCACTATGACACGGGGGGGGTATATCATGCACATTCACGACAAGTGAGAAGCTCCCCGTCTTGCATTATAGGGGGTTCATCAGGTTACCCCAAGTCGGTTGTAGGCTTTCGCAAATTCCTGGATGCATGAGAATATGGTCACGCATCGCAGGGATACCCCACATGTTTGTCAGGAATTTGCTACTTTTGACCAAGATTTCGCTCGCAAAGCAGCATCGATTTCCGTGAAAACGGTAGAACTGCGGGGATATCAGGCTTCAGTATGCTGGCACACCGCTCCATGCTTCGCTGTCATCGGGCTGAACTGTAGAGCAGCATGCAGGATGTCGTTGCAAGGAGACCAACAAACAGTGTGTACCGGGATTGCTGAAAGGAACCAAACCCGAGGCAGTGTGTAGTACGGATTAGGGAAGAGGCCAAGCGTGGAATGCATAGGAAAGGTACCTCCGCAGAGGGGCACCGGAGGAAATTACTCACGGATTAAGTCACATCCCTACATTAATGTCATACAAAGGAGAGTAACACTGCACTGATTGAGCCAAACAATTCATGCAACAACTTTGCCAGCTGGCGGCGTGTACATAGAAAACCCTGCTCGCGTGAGTCCACGTGAAAAGGCTTCATTACCTAATCATCAAGCCTCGCCGACTCTACGGCAGGTTTCTGTCCTTGTCCTCAGGTGTCTCATGGACAACCTAGAAGAATGTTACCCTCGCACAGTGATCACGGCTCACGTCTTGCTGAGCATCGACCTACAGTCCGACAGGCGAGCTCATCACTTATCTTTGTTCTCGTCTTGGCCATATTTTTGTCTTTCTCAACGGCACGCTTCCGAGTAAATATCAATCCCACACGAAATTTGACATTAAAACTGACTCACAAGAATGAGAGGGGTTCTCTCAAAGCTCCCTCAAGAATCACATGGGCTCCATGCACTGATGTCACCGAGTATGAGTGCGCATTTCTCCAAGTGCCAATGGATGTCAGTGAGACCCCTGACGCTTCGATCATTGAACTTCATGAGACTTCAGTATCTTAACCGCACTGATATGGAAACGGCAATACTGGCTCTTCGGCGTTTAGCTGCTACAGTCCCTCGAGGCGAGCGCCTCGGAACGGTGTTTGTGAACCCAGGTACGTGTCTTCGGCAAAGCACGCTTTCGCTTTGACAAGTCTCCAGGCGGGCCGGGCGGTTCAGGCACTGAATATATCGTCGAGACTGGGAAGGATATCAGTCTGATATTAAGAGGTGATCAGTTTATGTCCATCTGCTGAGACACATTGAACTAACGGCGACTCAGGACGATACGATATCCTTTCCTGGGATCCCAGAGGTGTGAATATGACGACGCCTCCAATGAATTGTTTCCCGTCGGATTACGATGAGCGCATCCAGGAGTACAAGTTGCATCAAATTGGATTGCCGTTTGAAATGCGAGCCATACAGGGAACGGATATTCCATGGTTCCAGAAAACCCATCACTACTACGAGGCATTGGTTGGATCATGCGCTCGAAACGGCGATCAGAGAATACTCAGAAGTATGAGCACTGCATTCACGGCTCGTGACATGTTGGAGATCCTGAAAGCGCTAGGCGAGGAAGAGCACGGTCTGAATTATTGGGGGTAGGCTAACATTTTCATGCGCCTTGCATTTGCTCATCGACCCGCAGTTTCAGCTACGGGACAATACTCGGGGCAACATTTGCTGCGATGTTTCCTGGTATGATTCACCGAATGGTCCTAGATGGTGTAAGCCATGCGCCTCATTATTACCAAGACCTCTTCGAATGGGGTCGAAACGCAATAGACCACTCGCAGAAGGTAAAGTAATTGAAAATGATCATCGATCTTTTTACTGAGTAGATGTCAAGGTCTGGAATGGCTTTGTCAAAACTTGCGCAGCCGCCGGACCGATCAACTGTGCTCTTTCCAAAGAGGGCGCCACCATGAATGACGTCCAAAATCGCATCGATGAACTCTTAGAGTCTCTATTGATCCAGCCACTGAGTATTCCGTACTCCGGAGCCATCGGAACATCTGGCATTATTACTGCCAGCGACGTTCGTTTTCACGTATGTGAATTTCAACTGTTGACGTAGTAGAGTTAAATCAATCACAGATCTTCTTGGCTCTGTATAAACCAACGCGGTGGCAGCAACTGGCGCAAAAGATGGTAGATGCGGAGCGAGGCGATGGTTCTGCATTCATTCTTCCTCCCCTCCTCACTGATCGTCGTGACATGCAAGACAATATTTTTCACCGGTACGCCGCAAGAGTGGGTGGTCCTTTGACTACTGTCGTCAGTGATGTCCAAGAGCATGTTCGACTGAATAACTGGTCTGTTAGGCTATCCAATGCGGAGATACCGATCTCTCTGTTCTCCACGCCAACATGAGTGCCCAAGCAATCAGTGAATACAGTCGGGAACTTGCTAGTACAAGCATCATTGGAGAAAGCTGGCAGATATGGATTGGGAGGTAAGCAGTGAACGCCTCTAGTCTCCAGGAAACCCCTCTAATAACTTTGAGATGCCGTGCATGGAATATAACTGCCACGGAAACATACAAAGGACCATGGAGGGCGGAAGATGGCTTGAAAAAGACCAAGTTCCCAATTTTATTCGTAGGGTACGGGCAAGTGAGAACCCCTTCTCCATTCCTGACACAGGGCAGAAATACTGCGGATCCTGTAACGCCACTTTCCGCAGCTGAAGACATGGTGGAACGTTTCGGGAACGAAAGTGCCTCATTGCTCATTCAAGATGGGCAAGTACAATCAAGAACCGTTGTTAATATGACCTGATCTTTGTTCTCTTAGGTATGGACATTGTTCTCTGGCTCATCCGTCTCTTTGCACCGCGCGCAGAATTGCAGATTACTTCATCGACGGTGTTGTGCCGAAGCACAGGACAATTTGCAAGTCAGAAGATGGCTTCATTTTCCCCCCGACCGGAGAAACAGCAGAATACTTGAGCGATCTGGGGGAAGACGACAAGCATCTTCTGCTAGCCCTTAAAAGGTTGTCAGAGAGTACAGTTTGGTAATGGTCGCATATCTGTATCCATATTTCAGATTATTCACCCAAGCCCGCACGCGCCTTCTTTGGCGTTGTTGGAACTACTTGGCTTTCTAGTTTGTTCATGCCGATGCCTACTTCGTTCTTTGCAATGTCCTCCGGCACGGCCCTCCAGGTCAGTAGCATCGTGCAGGCGATAGAAACTTGAAGAACAACCTCTGCATATAGTAGCTCCTTGCTTTCGTACGTAGAGACATTATAGTACAGTACGTATTTTCAACGAAGATCCCGACCGACTTCGACGGATGACGTAACTTGACAAGTCATCTGGGCAATCCAGACCGCATTGCAATTGAAGGGACCTGAACTTTGCACCCTCTTCCCAGTGTTGCCAGCAGTATGGAAGTTTGCTGCTAATTTGACATTCCTTTGCGCGGGTCTACAGGGTCCGACACAGGGAAATTCCAATGTGGGCAGTGTGAAACGGCAGTGCGGTTCCTGAAGAGTGGGAGGTGCACAAACTGAATACAGGAACAGGCAGGAAGGAAAGACGAATTGTCGCTCAGAGCTGTCCTCCGATAAAGCACCTGTTCGAGCCGAATGCATAACGCGGGTTGAGCAAAGTGAGGTCCATTATCGAAGTATGGACGAGGCATCACTCAAAGACGAGCCACCCGTGAAAAGCGTGGAGCTGGCAAGCACAATCCTAGAGAACCGAGGTAGGGAATCACGCTAGTTCGCCTGCGTGACGCCTGGTACAGTTATCTTCTAGCTTGGTTGGTAATCAGAATCCAGATAAGAATATCAACAGCGATCTGCGGTCCGTCATCTGTCTTTAGCAATCTCGAAGCAGGGGACGGGTGTATTTTGAGAGGAGAGGAAATCCAGCCGTGTGTTTGTCATCATTGCCCACCAGGTCACATGGAGGGACCGGGATTGTGGAGAGCCACATCGGGACTGCTAGCTGTGTTTTGGCGATATTGCGAGGGTATATGGAATTAATGTGAGATTGGCCGGGAATTGGTGATGAAACATTCACCGAGCCTCTGCCGAGGGTATCAGTGACTTCGGATCACTTGGGGGAAGAATGGCTGGCTAATCCAGGAGTGGAGAGGGAGTGGCCGAATTCGGGGGGACGTCACAGTGGATTGAGTGAAGCCAGCCAACGGAGGAATGCACAGGGCAGGGGGTCTGCGAATAGTAATTAAACGGTTACGCCAGCGGATGCCCTAAAGTACAAGAATACTCCTCCTTTAGGGGGCATTTTGTGACCTTATGCATATCCGAACGAATGGAGTTGTGGGCGATGAAGAAAGCGCATGGTGAGGAGGAATACTCGCGAGCAGACCGAAATACAACAAACAAAAGGAGGATAACTTGAGCTAACGAGGAGGCGATCTCTCTGCTAATACCCGATACTTCCTCACACGTGAAAGCCCGTTGAGCGTTACTTGCATCCGTTCGCGATTTTGAGTTTGATGGACAGAACCGTCCTTGCAATGGCTCACTCCCGGTATCACAGTCATCTAAGGTTCCAGGAGGGAAAAGCCGACGACGCTCAACTGATGCGCATGACGACTCAATGCCATGCCGGTGTGGAAGCGAGGGCGCCTGTGCATGCTCTGAAGTATCGGGAAAGTGAGGCACGAAGAAGAGGGAATCGAGCACCCGAAAAAGATGTGGGCATCTCGTCCAGCGAAGCAGTCAAGCACCGCAGGAAGGCCCACCATTAGCCACACTTTTCGTTCTCTCCTCGCCTTCACCCGTCGATAACCAGCGTTCCTACAGGACGGAGCGCCTGAGAGACTATTGCGCCAAGTTGTGAGCAAGAAGGCCCCTGATCCCTGTCAATCATCAAAGGACCGGAGATTCGGAGAAGCGAAGAGCGATTACAGGCACGCCCGAGACTTCCTTCTCTTGGGACATATAACCTTCTCTCCCTCGATCTCCATTCGCATTCCCCCACCCTCCCTCCTCCCCCTTCATCTGCCCCCTTCCTCTGTCACCAACGGGCCCAACGGCTGCTTCCCCAGCTCCTCGCCAACGTGTCTTGCTCTCTCACTACGGAGAGGTCGACGAGACGATGGACAACACGTATCAGCCAGACATTCTGGAGTATTCTCCGGACCTGGAGGGGAACATTCCTGTAAACCAGGCACAGCACCTCCGGGAAGACGTCGCAGAGCACCATCTGAACGATCCGAACTACTATGTTCAAGAACACATTCAGCTTCATCGAGTCCATCGCTCGACGGAGAAAATGACCGACTTCAGCTCGATCGACGATCGCGTAGCGGTTGAAATTGAGAATGACCTTGAGGACGACTCCCCTTACCCTGAGGTCCGGGCCGCGGTGTCGAATACCGATGACCCAACCATGCCGGTCAACACGTTCCGCACGTGGTTCTTGGGCTTGTTGTTCACCATTGTCATCTCCGGCCTCAATCAGTTCTTCTCACTCAGGAGTACGTCCCGCTGTTGCTTGTTCCTGGCAATGCAATGCTGAAATCACCGCAGTACCATCCGTAACCATCACTGCACTTGTCGCACAGTTGGTCGCTCTGCCCTGTGGCAAGTTCCTGGAGCGGACGCTCCCGACGAGGAAATTTCATACATTTGGTTATGAGTGGTCGTTCAACCCAGGCCCTTTCAACATCAAGGAGCATACTGTCATCACTGGTGAGCATAACTAGAATTTTTCAGTACGGGATAGATACTGAGCCCATATCTAGTGATGGCTAATGTCGTGTACGGTGGGGCGTACGCAACGGACATATTGATTACGCAGACCGTGTTCTACGGCGAGACGCTACCAGTTGGATACCAACGTGTGTAATATCTCACGCGCTCGTCATGTTGCAGCCTCATTCATATTACCCAAAGTGTTGTTGGTGATCTCCACCCAAATGATCGGCTTTTCCTTCGCCGGCATCTGTCGCCGCTGGCTCGTGTGGCCATCCTCAATGATCTTCCCCTCCACCCTGGTGAATACTGCATTGTTCAATACCCTGCATTCTACCTACGGCCACGACGACAAAGGCAGGATCTCACGCGAGAAGTTCTTTCTTCTCGCGTTCCTGTGCTCATTCCTGTGGTATTTCTTCCCCGGATATATCTTTGCGGCCCTCTCATACTTCAACTGGATCTGCTGGATTGCCCCGAATAACTTCATCGTCAATGCCCTCTTTGGTTTCAACTCCGGCCTGGGCATGAGTATTATTACATTCGATTGGGCGCAGGTCACCTACACGGGCTCCCCGCTCGTTTCACCGTGGTGGGCAGAGGCCAACGTCTTCGCGGCTGTCGTCATCGTTTACTGGCTTGTCTGCCCTATCATGTACTTCACAAACACTTTCTTTGGTGGCTTCTTGCCGATGGTTAGTGGCAGCTCTTGGGATAACACTGGCGCCGAGTACGATGCCACTCGCATTATTGTTGATGGCGTCTTTCAAGAAGAGCTATACCAACAGTATTCCCCTCTTTACCTGTCGACCTCCTTCACACTCGCCTATGGCCTCTCGTTCGCAGCACTGACCAGTACCATCGTCCATACGTTCCTATGGTATAGACATGATATTATCCGCCAATTCCGGGCCTCCCTCAAGGATGAATCCGACATTCACTCCCGCCTCATGTGCGCATACAAGGAAGTGCCCCATTGGTGGTATGCGGCACTCGGTGTCATTAGCCTCGTATGTGGCATTGTCTGCATCGAGGTATATGACACCAAGCTGCCGGTCTGGGCGTTCTTCGTTGCGCTCGGAATTGCCCTCATCTACCTCATTCCCGTCGGGATGATCCAGGCCATCACTAATCAGCAAGTCGGGCTGAACGTGATCACAGAACTAATCGTTGGATACGCGGTTCCTGGAAGACCGGTTGCGATGATGATCTTCAAAACCTTTGGCTACATTACCATGTCTCAAGCGTTGGCATTTGTCTCTGACCTCAAACTTGGACAGTAAGCAATCACTTCGTACTTATAGAAGTACATGGCTCATCAGAATTTCAGTTACATGAAAATCCCTCCTCGGTTGATGTTTACTGCTCAGGTTGTCGCTGGTCTGCTTGCGTGTTTCATTGTGGTTGGCGTTCAGGATTGGATGCTTGGAAATATTGACGGGATCTGCACTCCAGAGCAGAAAGGTATAATCAATTATCGCCGGGCCACCATCTGTTCGTTGCTTACAATTTGTAGACCATTTCTCTTGTCCCAACTCTCGGGTCTTCGGCACTGCGTCTCTCATTTGGGGTGGAATTGGGCCACAACGCATCTTCTCCAAAGGCGCAGTCTATTATCCGCTTGTGTATTTCTTCCTCATCGGCGCAATTCTGCCAATTCCCTTCTGGCTTCTTGCCAAAAAGTATCCTCAATCATGGTTCAAAGTGCGTACAGTTGCTGTGAAAGCCTTCGTTTGTCTAACACAGGTGTAGTATGTCAACATCCCAGTCTTCTTCACTGGACCAGGTTACATGCCCCCGGCAACTCCTATTAACTATGCTGCATGGTTCGTCGTCGGCACATTTTTCCAGTACTTCATGAGGCGGTATCACTTTACATGGTGGTCTCGATACAACTACATATTGTCTGCTGCCCTCGATTCTGGTCTGGCAATCTCAACCATAGTCATTTTCTTTGCGTATGTCAATTCCTTATATCATCATTACCTACGCTCACGATCATTTAGATTGTCATTTCCTGCGCATGGGACGATTGGCGCAGATAACCTCGCACTGTGGTGGGGAAATACAGGTACGTTTAACCCACACGTAGCAGCTATGGCTGTTGATCGTCAACTCCCCAGTATTTTTGAATACGATCGACTTCGCCGGTACCCCACACTTAGCACTTCCTGAAACCGGATATTTCGGAGTACCGCAGGGTTCCTGGACATGAAGTCAAATATTGCATGTTCATATCGTCGCACTATTCCTTGCTGTATACTATCTATGGGTATGGATGAGTTCGAAGTCCCCACTGATAATGTCCATGTGGCCCTTGATTGTTTCTGTGTGCCAAATTACATGACGTTGGCTCGAAGCCGCAATAAAAACCTCCCCTCCGAACATGTATTAATTCGATAATCAATAACTTGCCAGCAACGTTCGAGTATGGCTACCCAGCCAGTTGCCCAGACGTCCATTCAAACGTAGGCGGCGTACGACCCGATCACTGGACGATGATCGCTTCGGCCGTCCAGGGTCTTCATCTGAAGATCATCAAGAGTCTTATATGAAAGTACAACAACATCTCCCCGATGATGTTCCGGTTGTGATGGGAAGACAGGGCATGGCTCTGGCGCGGAAGCACGAGTTAACAACCCTGGAAGATGACGCCACCACTTGGAACTACTGCCGGTGCTGGTAGATGGTCTGGGCTCATCCGGTTCTAAGGTCGGCATCAAAGAGGAAACCGCAAACACAGGAGGAAGACGAGGCGGCGATGGAATGGGTGCCACAAAAGGGGGGAATACCACAGACCCTGCTGTGGATCTAGACTCGGGGTTCTGCGGGTGCCATTGAGTAAGAGGAATATTGGTATCAAAGGAGAATGGCTTCGCGGGTGGCGGCTCAGATGCCAAAGCACACGATTCATCCCCGTTCTTCACAGCTCTACGCTCCGCAGAAGCCGTCATATTGGGATTGAACAATATAGTGGAGGTTGTCGGGGAGTGGTGCAGACTGCGGGATGAATCACAGTCAGAAGAATTCGCTCGGCTATCTGCCGTTGTAGAGGAAGTTGAATTTCTTCGTTGTCGTCCCAAAGGAGGTCCACTTCGCAGAACAATACTGGACAAAGCGTTGCCGAAATATCCCCTCCGCAAACCGCTGCGAGTCATAGATTCCCTATGTTCTGATACTGGGGAATGCTCGCAGCCCGAAACGAGGGTGGTTTTCCATAAGATTCGGTCGCACCAGCTTGGTACCCGTTGCTTGCTGGAAGAATCGTACGTCATTGGCTCATTGTCCTCCAGTGTGGCACGTGATAGATGAGTTTTCGTCGAGGTGGAATGTGTGACTGGTAGCTTTTGGTCTGGGGATGGCGATACAGATTTGGGCACATCGCTGATACCGGCGTTCAGCGTTTCGGGAGTGATAAAGGTGGGCCGATTCGAAGCTGCAAGGCTAATAGGTCGGCCAATAAAATCCATGAATTTGGTTTTGGCCTTCTGCGCCGCAGGAAGACCGAGTAGCTTCTGCGCCGCCTGTGTAGCGACAGCAAGGGAAGAGGATACTACGTTGCCGTCACTGTCTTCGCCTTCTTCGTCGTCGGCATCAGTTGTCCAAGTTGTCGAAGCCGTACCAGTCCAAGCAGATCCGCTCGAAATGAATGAACTCGATTCAAAGTCGCGACTCCCTTGCTCGTGCTCGTCTACGTCGTCATCTTCCTGATCCGACCCTGGCGCATGTTCATCCGTCTCATTGAGGGGCTCCACAGTATTTGTCAGTGCTCGATGCACATGTGCACGTGTACCGACTGTGGTATCGCGCATCGATCGCCTGCGAACATCATATTTGTATGTTGGGGGAAAACGCGGAGGCTCCTCTTGCAGATCAACCTTCCCTTCCTGAATGAGTTTGTGAAGTTGGTCGAATTCTAAGGCCTGTGCGTATTCTAGATTTTGACTAAACATTCAAGCGCGATATGCCTCTTCAAGTGCTCACCTTTCCTGGAAATGAGCCAATCAGCATGCAGACGCGTTAAATCTAATCTGAAATTCAAATCGCCGAACACAAAGGTATAATCAAACCGGTCGGTAACATCTAGGTTCGTGTTAGCAAAGCGCATGAGTACGTATCATAAAAATACCTTCTGACAGGAGCCTTGGATCATCAGATGGAAGGAAGGAATCAACTTCTAGCTCGCACTTCGAACAACGGAAGGGCATCAGGTATAGCGGATAGTGACTAGCCATGCACGGACCTTGATCTTATGAAGATTAGCTAGACGCAATGCGACTTTTCCCTCATGGGCCGCGAGATGGGCGTTGATGAACAAAAGTCTGGTGTCGGCGAAAAAGACGCTGACACCGACTCCCCCCTTGTTTCCGACACGCCCACCCATTAGGCCAGCCGCCACAGTCCCCGTAGAATAATCTAATCAAGTATAGTGAGTAGATGATCAGCCAGGAAGGCACACGTGGATTCGCACCTCTTAGAAGAGGACGACAATCTCGCTGAACAAACACTGCTATATAAATGCCCATCAAACGCTCCTTGCACAGGAGAACATATGGTCCCTTCACGCCAGCCCTCAGACGAGCCTGCTCGGCACTGAGAGTCGCAGTTCCGCCTTGTTCCGAGATATTCCAGGCCACATTGGGTTCAGAAAGACGAGCCTCGTGTGTTGAATCGATCGTTTCTTCGGAATTTGACTCCACAGCTACCGCCGCAGAAACACAGGCATCCATCGGCCCCCTCGCATTTCTGAATCGATTCATTGGATCAGATGATTGTTCCAGAGCAGGTTGCACGCCTGATATTGATCCCACTCCATTCTGCAGCCAATCTTCAAGAATGGCTGACCAGCTGGACATAGTTCCCGCCACAAATGTGTTCCGATCTGCCTTGACATTTCGCGAATGGCGTTGACGATCCCTCTCTTTTTCCTTGTCTCTTCTAGAAGCCTCGCGCTCCGATTGCTTATCTTTATCTTTGTGTCGATCTTTGAATGTCGCACCGAGGCCCATAGGAATGCCAGAGTGAGTAGGACATTCCTGTCCAGCACTGATTCAAATTCAATAACGAAGGCATTACAAACAGTCACGAAACTGACATGACCACCAGGTGGAAAGGATGGGTGTCATCCCTGGGTAAGTACGGGATATTCTTCCCACGAAGCTCTAAAGGCTCGTGAGGAGGCACATAACCCAGCAGGGAACGAAGATCTCCCTGTGTGTAATTCAGCTGGATAGGTCATACACTAGATTTCCCATTACGTACGTGCGGTAAGCTCTCATGCATGTTCCATCTGATAACTCTTTAGAATGTACAAGTGTCACCTAGTACTAGAGGCACACGTTATAATTCTAATTTTGAGAAAAGACGGCTCATTCGGGGGGGTGGCAGGGCCGATCTTATCTGTTGTATTTTGCATGGAAGCTGGCGAGTTGAGGGGGGGATTAGGGGCAGTTTTGGGAGACATATGGCACTGTGAGGTCGCTAGATTCTCGTCATGATGGGGGAATAACGCTTGCAAACGAGTCAGCACGTTGCTCTGAGCTAGTGTGGAGTAATTGATCAGCTGAGGTCTCAATACAATGATATGAAGTCGTGGCGAACCTTGTACCGACTGCGACGATCGGTCAGCCTCTCTGGACGAATAGTGTCGACCATTGGGTTTCCCATTGCCTGAGAAAAAGTCACTGGACGGTCCCATCCACAACGTGCGAAAACATAGAGTATTTGCTTGAGTTCGAGGTGGAAATATCGAGTGATACCACAAATTTACGGTGATACCCAACGCTGACTGGCAGTGGCGATGGCGACGTGTTGAACAGCCAGGGCTCTAGATTTTAGGTACACTTGTCATACGTACAACTGCATTCCTCAACCTTACCCCAGCAGCCCAGCCTGTCGCTGTGCCTGTCTCTCTGTGCTATACAGCCTACATATCCTGGGCGAGGCCAAGACTGTGCTTGGGTCTACACCACGGGAATGCATGAACTGTGCCGCTTTCAGAGTGGTTAGCGTTGGCATATATTGCATATACAGGCCTTGAGCGGTGGTAAAATCAGTTCCTATCCTCCGCCTTCGGGTGGGATGCTGTGATTTTCTCTTTTTCTCTCGTTCGTCCCCCATGTAATAAATATCCTATATCTAGGAGGTCAAGTACCATCTCATATTGTTGCAGTCTACGCCCCTTGTGATCACATACCTTGGTATGTGTTGTTTACCCTTGTTACGATGCACTAGCGTAGACATATACGTCACAGGCCACTGGTCGCACAACACTTGATTTCATTTCATTCCGGGCATGTATTTAGTCCAAAGGTGGTTACACAAGCAGTCTCGTCAGGTCACTACGGAACAAGTCGCTTAGGATCGCGGGGGAACAAGGCGGCTCGACGAATGTTATTCAACTTCAAGAACAGCATGACCACGCGTTCCAAACCTGAACTTGATCAATACCGACATGCACAACGGGCATTACGAACATACCTATGCCGCCGCCTCCATGAGGAGGGCAACCCAAACGGAAGGCATCCAGATAGTGCTTCATACTTGCCGGATCGATGCCCTTCTTGATCATCTCAGATTCCAGAAGTGGGGCGTCGTGAATACGCTGTGCCCCGGATAAAATCTCCTCGCCTCTCATGAAGAAGTCATACGAGTTGGAGTAGCGCTGGTAAGAGCGTCAGAGTAGCCGTTGCAAAGCATTAAACGGGCGCACGTCATCCTCAGGATCAGGCATGGTGTAGAATGGGCGGATTGCCATTGGGAATTTGTCAAGAATATAATAGTCGGTACTGAACTTCTCCTTGACTAAACGTCCAAGCCACCTTTCGTTCTCCGTGCTGTTCGGAGATCGTTAGTGACTGGAACATGGAATGACAGGGCGTCTCTCACCTTAAGTCTTCTAGATCATCCACATCTGCACCGGCTCCTCGCAACATGGATATTCCCTCAGAAAAACGTAGACGAAGGGTGCCACCTTGATCCTTCTTCCGCCACATGAACGGCTCAGCGGGAAATTGTCTACCGATTAGCGCAATTTCACTGGCGTAGCGGGTAGATAGACCCTCGAAAATATTGAGAAAGAGGGAATCAAGAAGATCGACCACCTCGTCATAAGTTTCTTCAAATGCCATCTCGAGATCCAGGCCCATGAACTCAGTCATATGTCTGTGTGTATTGGAATCCTCCGCTCGAAATACTAGTTTGATTTAATCGATATCCTGCAAGGAAAGGGAAAATGAATCACCTGGAGCAATCTCATATACCTTCTCAAAGTCAGCAGCGATGGCCATTTGTTTGGCGAGTTGTGGGCTCTGAGCTAAAAAGGCTAGACCTAACAAATACGGGCTTTTAACATGATCACATACGACAGATCTGTTAAGTTACCAGTAAAGTATTGCACTCTAAACACAGATGCGCCACTTTCTGTTGCAGCGCCCTGTAACTTGGGCGTGTGAATCTCGGTGAAACCTTGAGAGTTCAAGAACGATCGAAAGAGTTCGCAAACTCCATGCTCCACAGTGAATATAGCTTGATTGGTCTGTGTCTGTCCACCCATGGAGCAAAGCAAGACGTGTAAACGAGTAAAGACTTACGCGAAGATCTAATACGCGGTTGTTCAGCCGTGTCTCCAGCAGCACCTTGTTATACTGGATGCCTTCTTTCTCAGCCTTCTCGTATTCCGCTTCGGGGCGTGAGGCATCATCCATCGTGAAGGGCAATCGCGTTTCAACAGGGGAGACCACATGGAGCTGCAGAGCGTGAGGGAGCCAGTACATAACTCGGGAGACACACGAACTGTGTTGATGTGTATCTCTGCGTCCTTGACAGAAGCACTTTGTACCTCTTCAATCGGTCTTGCGACAGTTCCTCGAACGAGCACAATGCTCTCCGTCGTAATTCCAGCCACCCACTTCAACATCTGTCTAGAGACAGCGCCTTCTTTGACCTGCAAAAGGCCCTGGATGGTGGCTTGCCTCTGGCGGAATACAACAAAAACCATCTTTGATCCTATGAAAGTGTCAATGTGGTATTCACGGGGACAAGAAGGACAATGCCTTGAGCTCTAGAGGTGTGCAACCTAGCTCGGAAGAGGACACTGTATCCTTCTGAATTAGCATTCAAAGACTCGATTTGGACGCGTTGTTCTCCTGTAACACCGTCAGACGAACTGTAGTTTTTACTGGAAAGTTCAAAAACCTCACCTGTCTTCGTCTGTGATTGGTTCAAGGGCAGCACGCCATAGTTTCCCACCGCGTCATCCTGGCGTAAGTTCAGCATCATTTGGCATGTTTGATCTACAATGACTAGCCACTTCGGCTGCCGCTCGAGCGGCTGCTTCAGCATCTTGTCGCGCTTTTCTTTCCGCACTTTTCGCAGCCTTTTCCGCTTCCTTTGCGGCTTTTTTCAAAGCGTTCTTCGACGGTTGAGCGCTAGAATGGGAATTCATGAGAACGGATCGTCCAATTAACTAAGGCATACCCCTCTTCGGCCTGTTCCGTCGACATGGTGAGACGGCGCAATATGTGGACAGCAGACGTGAGCAACTGGCGCAAGAGGGTGTGATAAGGGGTATGCTTTGCACAGCCACTTGTTAGTGAGTATGACTCAGCTTGCCTTAACATTGATCAAGACGAACGAGTAAAATATCTATAGACGTCTACAAAGGAACTGCGGCTCTGAAGGAGCTATGCAAATCAAATAGGATACAAGTGGGGTGTACAATGTCGTACATACATCATTGAGAAAATCGATGATCTACTGAACAGGTGTGCCAGTAGAATGGGTATCGGCTGCATCTTGCTTGAACTGTCCTCTCTTCCTGCTGGCCTGGGTTTTCTTCGCAGACGCATGATCTGAGCTTCGTTTTGTGTACTTGCGCTTTCCCTTTGCTTCCTGGCCCACTTGCAGGACCCCTTTTCCCGCGCCAGTCTTTTTGGATTTCACGGCTAGTGCGTCTTCATCATCGAATTCGAAGTCACCATTGGCCGCCCCCTGATCGAAGAAACTGTCGTCATCCCCATCGTCCTGCCAGAGGTCACGGGATCCCATGTTAACCGCTTTGCGCGCTCGTCTCCTAACATCCGCGTTGTTCACGGCTTCGGCCGCTGCTTGTGCTTTCAGTCGATCCATGGATTGTTCCAACTCCTCGGGACTGAGAAGCAGATTCACAATTTCGTTTGTTCCTGCAACTTCGACGAATTGCTTGTTCCCAACGACGATGTCTTGAACCTACGAAACAAATAAATCTTCGTTGTCTGCCCCGATTCCAGGCCATGCTCACGTCTTTTTTAACACGTGCCATTTGAACAATACGCTCATCAATAGTGCCCTTTACAATCAGCCTGTATACGGTGACCTGCTTGGTTTGCCCAAGGCGATGCGCACGGTCCATGGCCTGAGCATCGTTGGACGGGTTCCAGTCCGAGTCGTAAAAAATGACCGTGTCTGCAGCAGTAAGATTGATCCCAAGCCCGCCTGCACGCGTGCTGAGAAGGAAGACAAATATGTCCGACCTACAAAATTACCTTTAGAGCCAAGTTGATTATGAGAGAATGAGCTCACCGTGTCTGCCACTCTTCTACCATGTCTCGGCGATCTGAAATTTTTGAAGTCCCGTCCAATCTGAGGTACTTGTATTGGCGGTAGATAAGATATTCTTCCAGGAGATCAATCATACGGGTCATCTGAGAGTATATCAAAACCCGATGATCCCCTTCCTTTAGCTCCCGGAGCAGAGAATCAAGCCTCGCCAACTTTGCGGAGTCGTATATGAGGCGCTTCATATCCGGCATTCGCATTTGAGTCTGTGGCACCTGTGAACGATCGGACAGGGCCAAAACACCCTGCGGGGCCACGCCAGGTACAAGCTGCTCGAAAGCATCAGAAGCATCTTGGGATTCTAGTAGGCTTGGCGGTGGTCCATAAAGCGCCGATTTCTCGACGTAACCTGCCCTCGCACGGGCCTGCGCCTCCACAAACGTTCGATCGTTTGCGTAGAGGGACGGCGCTGGCGCACAAGCGCGATCTATAGAGCAACGGGCCTCGGCTCGAGATAGGAACGATGCTTCCCAGAAATCGGAGCTAATGGCATGCAAGGCAGGCAACCCTTCGGCAATACTAAGGGTGTTGACCAGTCGATGCTGTTGAACCGTGCACATAGGCATGACAGAGTGAAGAGCAAAGTCTGAATCGCTGTTAAGGGTCGTATCAGCATGTCAGCGGTTGGCTGGCAGTACACGCACAACAAATACGGCGCTGATTCGACAGCTCGTCTAGTCGAGCTTGCGGCAGACGTCATCCGGGCAATGACCGTTTCCTCCCATAAAGTGTATGCCTGAGACGGCGATACATCGATCAAGGGCAGGACAGCAAACGGTGATCCTACGCCTCCTGTGAACAAACAGAGCGTGCCCGGCAGAATGTGAAAGCGTACCCTTCTTGAGAATAGAGCCTTCAATCGTATCTGTTCTCCAAATGTTCATCATATTGTACAACCAGTGAGTATCCGAGCCCGCTTGACTATTCCAGCCCGGGACACAAAGCAGTCCACCGTCACGTTGCAGAAGATTCGGAATTGGCACGACAATGGGACTTCTAGTCGAATCAGGCACGTCAAAAATTCTGGCATCCCGCCTGTAACTAAGAACATCCGACCGTCCCCATTCGGCAAAGGCAAATGGCGAGACGACATCCGCACGTTCGAAAAGTTCCGGATGGTTGCAGATTTTCCGAAACTGCATCACAAGGTTCATGAGGGTTCGGATGCCTTCTTCGCTAGTAGCGGCTTTGCTCAGGAGGTCAGATACGGAAATATTACTTCGAATTGCTTTGTGCATGCGGCTTTGTTTTGGACTCATTTCCACGTAGGAATCAATCTCGATCTAGCCACCGCATCAACCAAGATAAAGGGATCGAAATGAGTGTGCTAACCTTCTCTCCCAGCTCGCTCTGAACATTTTTCTTGATGCGACGCAACATGAAAGGTTTCAAAATCATGTGCAGTCTCTTCAACTGGGCCTGGTTCAGCTGTTGGCTTTTATTCTCCGCCGCATTCTCGATATCCTTCGAGAACCATTCGCTGAACTCCTCGTGGGAGTCAAATAAGCTAGGCATGATGAAATGAAGCAATGCCCAGAGCTCTGGCCAACGATCAGCAAGGGACATACCAAGGTATTGATAGAAAAAGGGTCGACCTTGCATAGAATTCTGAATTGGTGTGCCTGTGAGCAGGAGCCTATTGCGGCAAGTAAAATTCAGCAAGGTCTGCCACCGCGCGCTGGAGGAGCTCTTGATTGCCTGCGCTTCATCCAAGATCATATACTGCCATCTGACGCTTTGGAAGTACTGCGCATCCGCAAGGACCTAAAACATCAGAATTTAGAAGATTTTCTGGCAATTTGTTGCATTCCTCGCCATTTGATAGCTTGTGACCAGAACGTGAAAGGGAGCATTCTCGTTGTATTTGACTTTTTTGCGGTTCCACCAGAACTTGCGAAGAGTTTGTCGGTCCTTCACAACTCCCCAATACGGAAGAACTTTCATTCTGGGAACGAACTTCCGGATTTCCTGCTCCCAATTATGCAGAGTTGAGGCCGGAGCGATAACCAGGAACGGGCCCCAGATGTCGTACTTTTCTGCTAGATAAGCAAGTAGGGAAATGGACTGCACTGTCTTTCCAAGACCCATCTGTTACAGGGTCAGCCTCCATCTCCCCTGCTCTGTACAAATTAACACACCTCATCCGCAAGAATGCCATTTATACCCTGTTCGTAAAGTTGAACAAGCCAGTTCAAGCCCTTCAACTGGTAATCCTTCAGTTTGGCATCTAGTAGCTGCGGCTGTTCGACAACGGCTGCATCTTGCAACATGGTAGGATTCTGGAAGTTCAGCTCCCTGGCTTCAACTGTGCCAAAGGGTCAGAAAACGTGCGGGAGAAGGCATGGCACGAAAAGGTCTAACGGTTCATCAGTTCATCATCCTTCGCTTCTGTTGGTTCCTTCGCAATGTCCGCTTCGATACGTTGCTGTGTAACATCTGCATCGAAGGCATCGGCTCGCTGCTTAGCAAGATCAACAGCTGCCCGAGCATTCTTGGCAGCGTGTGCTCGAAGATTGCTTTCATCCTCTGAGGCGAACAGTTAGTAGAAGTGGGACAATCGTCTTCGGTCAAGGCTCACCGTCTTCGAAATTAAGTGCTTGGAGCCCGTTCTCACCTGGCTCTCCTAATATCGAGGGTGATGCGCCTACAACAACCGTACTTGGCCCATCTGTCTGCATGGTCTCCAAATCCGCAGCGTCTGTAGCTGAGGTTCAGGCTTATCAGGCACATCTCCTGGTCGGTCAATCATGCGTACCTTTCAACTTGCTGCCCACAAAGTGACTGTATAACTCTGTCTGGGTGATTAGGAAATTGAGTTTCCTTTGCTGTCTCTGTTGTTCGCGCTTTTCGTCTTCTATCCTGGCCCTTTCCGCCTCTGCCCTCTCCGCCTTCTTCCGCTCCTCCTTCTCGGCTTTCTCATTCTGCTTCCAGAACGTCAGCATCTGTGAGGGCTATGAGTTACACAGCATCTGAAGGCTCTCCTAGGGCGAACCTCTTTCATGATCCTCCTCGACTTCGCCGCAGTTTCCTTGGCATTCCTCGAGCGAATTGCCTTAGGACGTTCTTTTCTGGAGGCCAAGGCCATTCGCAACGTTTGCAACTTGCGTGCATGGAAGAACGCTTCATACACACGGTGTGCCTATACTCAATAAGCATGGTAGTAAAGATCAGGGTGCTGATACACACTTTGGGCACTGCCGACGATGCGATATTCTTCCAGACCTTTCGAGTGTTCTCTTCAACAACTTTCGCTCTCTTTGAGGCCATTTCGAGGGTGTACTTCTTGAAGTGCCGAGGTGGACTCTGCGGAAGGAGGAGACGTTCGGGACTCTCCGGTCGACTGGGTACTGGAGCGAGTTGATGATTGGCGGGAATTGAGAAAGGAATGACGCGTGTCGGCGAGGGCGTAACCATTCTTTCCTCTTTAATAGATCGGACCTTCTTGATGCTGCGAGGCTTCTTCCTTGCGGAGGGTACCAAACTAGGAACTGGCGAACCCGCCAGAGGCTGTACATCACTGAGTGACGGGGTTCCAGCATGGGATGTTTGGCTCGGAGGACCATCAACCAGTTCATCTATCATATCCTCGACACTGAGACCGAGGTGCGTGGGATCCAGCCCCTGAACACGTGCTTCCCTTTCACTTGTGCCCAATTCTAGTCCTAGGCCGGACTGGGACCGTGATGGGACATTCTGTGCACTTTTCAGCGTAGAGTCGTCTTGATCAATTGGAGATCTGTAGTCCTTCCTGCGCTTTTTAGACTCTTTTAACCTTCCCTCGTTGTCCAGCTTTCGCTTCCGATCTCCCAAACCAGCGTCGAGAACGACATGGACACTCGGTGGGGATGCAAGTTCTGTTTTCGTGCGAACGTCTTGCCTAGCTTCATACTGAGACGATAGAGTGCTAACTGGGAGCGCTGGTAACATTGGTGCACCTTCATCATGAGCATGTAGGTCGCGAATGAAAGTACCACTTTCAGAACTCTGCTGGCTGGCATCCAGAAACACATTTGAATGAATGGCCGAAACGCTGTTACCGGCTCGATCCGAAAGGGCCGGCTGACGAGGGTCAGTGCGATGATGAGGGTGTGACCGCTCCCCATCTTGATGACCAGAGGAAGAAGCTAAACCATGCATCAGCGTGTGGTACGCGGCTTCATTCCTTTCGTTCGTGTCTCGTTCGAAACCATTCTCGATGGTGCGCAATCGCCGACGAGCAGTAGACACATACTCACCCGCAGGTTCGCCCACAAGTTCAGAGCTGTCATGAAGGGCACCGTTACATATAGGGGAGAGTGGCTCCTCAAGCAGGGACAGTCGCCGATCCTGTCGACTTCCACCAGGATGAATGAGACGATCATTAAAGGTTGCCAATGCAAAAGATTGTCGGTCTGGGGACTGGTGAATGATATCGGACGCCTGAAGTAATTGAGATGGGTGTTCACGGCTCGAAACTTGAAGCGCTCACATGTCTTTTCCTCATTTGACCAGGATCCCCTTCAGCTCCTGTGAATTGTCCTTCCCCCTCGTAAAAGTGTTTTCGCTTTCGTGACGAAGGCACCTCGGTGATGTAATGCCTCTGGTCGGATTCCACGCGAGATGCTGACCCTCCTGCACCCCATGAACTTGCATTGAACTCCTGCCACCGTGGCATGGCAGGCAGATAATGGCCATTCTCTGCGGGACCGGAACTGAGAGTGCCAGACCCATGGTAAACCACCCGGTCAACAGACGGATCGTTGGTCACGGAGCATGCATGGGTAGACGAGGCTTGAGGTAAAGGGGTATAGGCAGGGCCGGTTCGAGACTGGATTGGCGGGAGGGGCTCATCGTCATCGTTGTTGAGTATTCGAGACAGAGACATTGTCTGATGAGAAGGTACGGTGAGCATGAGCGGCCATACACGACGATCAAGTCTGACGGACGGAAGCTAACCAGGATGGCAATGATAATATTCGCTTATGGAATCGCACAGCAGAAGGTGTCGGCCAAAAGCAGCGTGATTGGAGTGTCGTGCGTGTTGAACAAGACAAAGGACGTGGTGGGGGAATGCGTTTGATTGCGATGATGAAGCTCGGCGATGCCAGAGGCCGTGGGCCCGTGCGAGAGGTGAGCAATGAACAGGGCCGGTCCCCAGGGCTGTTATTCACCCGATCTCGGATCTGGGTTGTCCTTCACGCGGACTGCAACAGAATCGCGTTCACCATTCGGAACGCGACCAGCATAACCTGCACAGCCCAAACTCCGATGGTTCTCCTTTCTACGATCTCGTTCTATCCATCCACCTCGACCGTTTCAATACAAACACTAATGCCCCGGGAATGCATGTGGGTCAACTTCCAAACGACTCATCACGTTTACGACTTATTTCCCTTTTAGGAAATTCCTTGGAAGAATACCTTGTCACGTGACCCTTTTCAAATGAATCACCAAGGGTATCTATCAAATATCCTTGTTTTATAGCATTATATCTCGAAATTATGGATGGTGCAGAAGGATGGAGCCCCTACACACCTGTCGAACATTCACCCCGTGGCCGGAACATAGGGAATCCCGGCTGTGAATCGACACTGAAACTGCGGGCAATGGCTCCCTTCCGCAACAAGATCAATTTGGTCTGACCGATCGAAAGTTGAAGACAGCATCCTGCAGGTCGAGGTTTCCTGAATAAAGCGTGGCGATATCGCAGAACAAACGTTGCAGAGGAGACGGAAGCTGAGCACAGGGACCGAGAGTCGTCCCTCGACTGGGATGTTGAATGAGGAAGAAGGGAATGAGACCTCGACCCAACGCATTTACAATCTATCACTCGTCAATGAGGAACAAGTAGAGGGGCGCCAATCTTACCGGAATCACCATGCAGTTTCGCTGCTGAAAGGCCCGCAATAAGAACAACCAAATTCTCTGTCGGGGATTAGGGGACTTGATCAAGGTCGAACACAGAGAATGCATATACCTCAGTCAGGGTGACTTGCTTTGTGCCGAGTTCCCACAATAAGCGGGGAGTGCCCAGTAACCATTCAGAAATTAGTTCCGGGTCCTGAAAGCGAATGCAGCCCTTAAAATGCCGGTCACCCTGCAGCTAGTGAAGGTCAATGCGTATCCAATTACAATGAGGAATTCAAACCAGAATCAAACGTCCAATGAAGTCGAAAGCGAGACTCTTCACCGGCGACATGAGCGACAAAGAATTGGCGTGCGAAATCAGTGCTCGCGTCAAGACGCGAGATATTGGTTGCACGTCCTTCATAATATCCATGGCGCTGAATAAATACCACAACACAGGCATCATCGCAAGATATTCTTCACCCGTGCAAGGAGCCTTGATGCAAAATGAGCCGTGAGGTGAGAGGCTCCGAAGCCCAGAGCGCACCTTGTCTTCTAGCCATTCCAAAACGTACCCCAGGACTGAGTGTAAACGGTCAGCTTTTGAAACAGGCCATGTTGGCGAAGACAGATAGTGCAATGCCACGATTTGACAGTAATAATGGTTCGAGGCTCGCAGAACAGTGCCCACCTAGCAAATGAATAAGCGGCCTATTAGGACTTCCACGTTGCGACATTTACCCGCTGATGGCCTGCTGCTTTCGGGCTCGCGAATGGGAAGCGCTCGTCCAAGCGGCAAAGAGCCTTCTCAAGACCAAGCGTAAAGTGGTCACGCGATGTGTCGATCTGATTTCGCTTGAATTGTCACCAGCATGACGACGGTGACCGACCCACGAACCTCAATTGAATCTTGAAGCACAGACGAGAAAAGAAGGTTCAAGATGGAGATGCTGAGCCACAAGATCTGAAGCACATGTTCATCCGATGCCAAAGGCTCATACGACGCTGCCACGACTGATGCTTCGTGAATGAAGTCTGTCATTGCAGGGACGAAATCGTCGACGATGTCCTGTGTACCCCTCAATGATAGTGCACAGGGCAGGGCCCCATTCCATACCTTCACGTAGTCGGTCGGTCTCATACTCAAATGGGTAGAATCTGGGTCGGGGACCATTCTCTCAGACACATCATGGGAGAGCGAGAGGACTTCAGGAAAGTGGCTAAAGGACAACGAATCCTCGACGAGTTGCAGCCCTGACTTGCCCCAAAATGAAGCCTCTGTTGTTGATATCGTTAGACACCCCTGGAATGCCTCGAACGACTCCTGGGAATCGAAGGAATTTCGGAGATACCATAAAGGCAACCTTGAACTGTCATCTAAGGTGGAAGTTGACAGCGCCCTCAGAAATGCTCGGAGGCACGACAAGATTTCGGCCTTCGTCTGAAGCGAAGTGTGAGCATTACCATGGGCGGATGAACCACAGCAAAACTCACCGGTGATGTGAGAGCAATACTTGAAGGGGCCCCAATGAACGGCTCTACATCCGAGGGAAGTTGACGAAGAACATGAGGAAGATAGTACTCACCTCCTGAATTCTGACGCTTGATTTGCAAGATCGCACGGAAGGCGTCTAGCACTCGACCGGTGGAACTCGTTTGATTCAACTCTTGTATCACGGAAACCGGCGCTTTGTTCAATAGAAGGTGCAGGAATCGGATTGAGTCTATACGAATGTCGGGGAAAATATGGGTCGTGTTAGAAAGAACATGGAGAAGCAAAAGTGGCACATGAGGCTCCAGTTTGTCCTTTGATGTGCTGTCAGGCCCTGAGTAATACAAGAAAGAAGAAAAATTACAGTTGAGGTTGAGCTGATGATCGACTTCATTGTATCCAAGCACGCTCTACGAACCGCTGTGTCCTGCATCCATCCGTGAACACGCGGCTCGTCATCTTGTAAATGACACCGGCCTCGTCACCTATCAAATGACCTGATGTTTCGAGTACTTGTGACATCATGTCTTCATTTTCTATGCTGGTTTGCTGGAAAATTTCTTTCAGTCCATGTACAGAATCTGCCAAATTGTAACTGATATGCCAGAAAGTAGAAGTGAATAGGATACCTTTTCTAACTGCACCGTTGTAGTGCCGCAAACGGCTGATCAGCTGCGAAAAGGATAGATTCTTGCGAGTCACTACATCTCCCGCTCTGTATGTATCCACATTCTGGGCTGGAACGTTGATGGCTACAACACGCGCTCATTCAAGAGGATAATAACGATGTCAACAGATGTCCGAACATTTTACGTTGAAGGAAGTATCTGTCGCATTTGGAGCAGATTTCTTGGCCCTGCCGAGTTTAAGCTTTGCTTTCTGCCAGTTGGATGGGTATCCATTACAATGCATTTGGAGAAAATACCGCACACTGAACTCGCTAGCTTTCTCCCTTTTCTTCTTGTTACTCTTCGGCATGGGGTGCCTAGGTGAGAATGGTGAATGGACGAGTGGATTGTCCCCTCAGAGGTAGACGCGGAGTGAGGACCCTTGAGCAATTTTACCCTATCCATCCTTCCCGTTAAGGAAATCTGGAATCATTTATCCCCCTGGTGGCGCGCGCCGCGATAGTACTGTGACACTTGGGGGTTGCGTGAGCAGAGCTCGCACCGCCGATTCCCCCAATAGTACTTCCATATCATGTGAAAGCTCTTACCAGATATCTGTCCTTAAAGTAGGGTCGAGGATGATGCGCCAGTGGGTGCCGGTTCCCTTCCTCCCTCCGGTCAGGGGAATCGGAATAGATCTCAAGTTTCACAATCCAAAAGTCCATGTGTTTCTGTAAGGGTCCCCCTTACTGATCTACTTGGGGGGTGGTGCGAGCAGAGCTCGCATGGCCGATTCCCCCCAAACGGCATAATGGTAATGGGACAAGGTTTCACACTGGAGTGTCATATATTTCTAGTGAAAAAATCTGACATCTCATGGTAATTAATAGCGACTCCTCCATGGCAGTGTAGACAAGCACATGTGGCATTTGGGGGGTGCTGATAACGGACCCTGACAGAAATTAGTGCATTTTTTTAAATTAGAGTACTAATAGTAAAATTTAATGAACTACAAGAAAGTGTATGAAGTGTACAAAATATGTATACACTTGATTGTGAGGGCCCTCAAAAAATGTGATGCAGATTTCAGACCCTAGCTCATATTTGTACAAGAGCAAGGTTATAGCAAGGTTATAAAATTATCAATGATTTTCTAATAAAAATGTGTATGAAGTGTAGAAAAGTGTACACTTGATTGTAAAGGCCTGGGTAGGACCCTCAAAAATGTGGCATGGGTTTCGAACCCTAGTGTGCATTTCTGACAGAATCAAATTACTTCTGTTTTATGTGAGGGTGCTCTTACCAGATCTGGGATTAAGGTCAGGTTGAGGATGACGTGCCAGTGTGGGAGTGGCTGGGGATGCTGCTTCCCTTTTTCCCTTTGGTCAGGGGAATCAGAATTCTGTCTTGTATCTCTTCCCAGGGTTCTCCTTTACTCCCCTACCTCTCTTCCTAGGTTCTCTTTTACTCCCCTATCTGCATTGTGCATCTTCTTCTGTTTGTTTCTGTTGCTAGGCCCTACTTGTTTGCAGGTCTAGCCCATCTTTTTCCATGTCCTTTCCTCTCTCCTCACCATCATCACTACAAACTGTATCTACATGTTTTCTCTAATACAGAACAGTCTTAACAATACTTCTGAGGATACTTCCTTGGACTGGACCATCAGTGTGGGCCTATACCAAGGCCCTTTCAATACAATCTGCTGTTAACCTAGTGGGCTCCATTCCACAGAGCTGTGACACTTTGATGAATCCTCTCCTTGCCTGTTTCTCTCTCTGCTCCTCAACCTCCCTCTGTCCGCCATCAGTAGTCTCACCAGTGAGAACCCTTGAATCTTGCAACCAGGTCCACTTTGCTCTGCATCACTTTGAAACCCATTTATTTACCTGTTCAAGCTGTGCAATCTGATTTGTAAGAAATGACTGCTCTTGAGAGGAGAAAGGAAGAAATGATTTTCAGACACCTGGATACCAATGGGGTTGCAATTGAACAGTTGGACAGAATGCTACTGGTCTCAAATGGATTCAGCACTTCCACAAACATCATGATCCACAAACATGCTGTGTATCATCCAGTGAAGGAATGGTGAATGAGTGCTGGATGGGCATGAAAGTCATGTGAATGTGGCATTTACCAAATATTGAACTGAGAAGATCATCCTGCTCTGCCTTCTGGTATTCATTGCAGCTCAGTCTCCTGCTTGATGCCAGTCCTTCCAACCCAAACACTGTAGAATAGAAGGCATACAGCAAAGAAAAATCAAAGGACAATCTTCCCAGCATTCCAAGTCACATTTCAGAAGGGTTTCACAACATCCCAAGTGCCTTCACAGGTGCTGGCCTTCAATACGCTCAGGAAGCTCAGTGCAGCCACCCATACGGACTCCACCTTGAAAAGAGGATGCAGCCAGATGAGTTTCACAGACACCAATGACTCCCATTGCAGTTTCCCTGTCACCAAGCTCACATCTTCATCTGCCTTCAAAGTCCTCCTTTATTAATTTCTGCCATTATTGTCCAAGGCACATTGCCAGCCCTACAATGAGACAAGTTTGGGTTGATCTGAACCACAAGAACCATCCTAGTGAACCCTAACCCTTCTCTTTCAAGCAAGCTAGAATCATGCAGAGTGAGCATCAAAGTCAAAAGTTCACAGGTCGGCTAGGAGAAGAAACTTTGGACCACCAAATCGTAATCCACATTTAAAAAAAAAGAATGATGGAAAATAATGTCTGATAATTGGTTGCTCTATATGCAAGAGAAAAGCATGAGTACCTTCACAGAGTTGTGGGTTTTACCAGACTCAGATTGTGGGACAAAGAGGACCATTGTGCAGAAGAATCAAAGTGGTACTAGACATCACAGGAGATGAATTCAAATGAAAACCATGATAACTAAACCAATGCAATATGTTTTGTGTACTCCATGGGCAATGTATAGCTAGTACTTAATAATAATACTAAGTGCTTTCCATATTTCATCACAGGGTGCTTTTGGGTGCATACTGGCAGTGTGAGGAATAATAACCAACTATTACTATTACTATTACTATTACTAATCATATTACTATATTAATATTACTTTTAATATTTATTAATATTCATTACTATTACTATTACTATTGTGTTAGGGTTTGTTTCACAGGTTTGGTTGGGGCCCAAAATCATCAGTAAGTTACTGGGGTCCCACCAAAATACTGTGTAGAGATCTTTTTTTGGGTCCCAGAGCAATTCCTGCCTTTAAGCAACCTAGCCCCTCCCTGCTGTAAGGGTCCCCTTCATCTATTCCCTCTTGTATCTCTTCCTAGGGTCCTCCTTGACTCCCTTCTCTGCATTGCACATCTCCATCTGTTTGCTTCTGTTGCTAGGCCTTACTTCTGAGTGATACTTCATCAGACTGGAGTCCACCATCAGTGAGGGCCTATACCAAGGCCCTTTCACCTGCCAGCCCTTCCTGGTTTCCATTCTGATTCCCCTGGCCAGAGGGAGGAAGGGTGCTCTACTCTGTTGACTGGTGTGACTGGTGTGACTGACTGTCATCATAAGTGAGTAATGAATGTTTAGACACAGTTTCTGGTGATGATGGTGAGGAGAGAGGAAAGGACACAGAAACAGATTCTGATTCCCTTGACCAAAGGGAGGAAGGGAAGTGGCATCCCCAGCCACTCCCACACTGGCACGTCATCCTCAACCTGACCTTAATCCCAGATCTGGTAACAGCACTTTCACATGATACAGAAGTAATTTGATTCCATCAGAAACACTCTACGCAAGGGTCCGCAATCCACGTCGCACTTTCTAGGGTCTTACCTGGGCCCTTAGTATCAAGTGTACACTTTTTTACACTCTATACATCTTTTTTGTAGTTACATCAGGAAATATGTTCACATACCATTAGAAAGTGTACAAATTCAAGCTAGGGTCCAAAATCTGCGTCGCATTTTTGAGGGTCTTACCTCGGCCATTACAATCAAGTGTACACTTCATACACTTTTTGTAGTTCATCAAATTTTATTGATAGTTATACTACTAACTACTCTAATAAAGATATACTAATTTCTGTCAGGATCTGTCTTCTGCATCTAGCACCCCCCAAATGCCACATGCGCTTGTCTACATCACTACAGGGGGTTCACTATTAATTATTAGATGTCAGATTTCTTCATTAGAAATTTACAACACTTCAGTGTAAAACTTGAGTTCTATGGTACTATTGTGCCATTTGGGGGGAATCGGTTGTGCAAGCTATGCTCATGCCACCCCCCAAGTGTCATCCTCAGCCTGACCTTAAGGCCAGATTCGGTAAGAGTGCTTTCACATGGGACGGAAGTAATTTGATTCCGTCAGAAAATGCTCTACACTACCAGGGTCCGAAATCCGTGTTGCATTTTTTTAAGGTCTTTTACCTGGGCCATTACAATCAAGTGTACACTGGTTGCCTCATATACCCCTCCTTGAAGGGAAAAGAGGCAACCATACCAAATCCGCCAGTTTGCGGAATGCGCCCTCCGCGATGATCGAGGTACCGCGCTCAGAGGCTATCATTGCTGCATTTGCTGGACGGGGGGCTATCGGAGATGATCTGCGTCGGGATGTGCTGATACGGGCTCTGAGGAGAAATTACTTATCATAATATGTTGTAATCGCATGTTTCTCTTGGGTACAGCCTAGAACGGTGTAATAGCGATGAAGATTCACTATCGTTTGAGATGTGGCACGGGGATTGTCTCCCTCTGCCCGGGTTAGTACAGTGCTGCAGCGGTAAGATTCCAGGTTTCGCCAGAGTCGTCAGAGTTGATGGTTGGAACCGACGAGCGCTCTCAAGGGTGTCGCCGGATTTCGGAGATAACGTTCGGCATTAGGGTCAAACTGCCAAAACGTCCGACAGCCTTGAGCGCTTGAGATCTTGACGCTCGTGGGAATTTTCACTGAAAGACCGATATTTTTCTTCGTTCGACAAGCGCACATCATCTTCCTGTTTCTTTGTCGGAGGTATTGTATTGTCCAAGTATCAGTCCATCAGGCATGTTCTCCGCTCTCTCCCTGTCGGCCCTTTCCCTACTGTCCAAAGCCAAATCTTCTGTGGTAGCTCAAGAAAACGGAAGCCGGCAGGAAAAGTCTGAAGACGGTGGGATAATAGGGCGCAGGGATGAGGAGGGGGTTTGGGAAGCATGTCGGTGAGTGGGGTGAGGCTTTCGACTGGTACCAATATGTCGGCAGTGAGCAACAAGTTGCCTTCTTTCTCAGAGGAGTAGGCAAGGTACTGGTCTGCCTCACGCCATGCTGCCGGGCATGCACAGAGACAAATGAAGGGAAAAGAGAGGATGAAGG